ACACATCGTCACAAATGTCTGATCCCCCCCCCGCCCCCCCCTTGGTGCGTGACGTCATTTATGGACGGCCCTCAACCCCGGCAGCGATGAGCGACCGATGAATGGGGGTTGGAACTCACCGCTGCCTCTTTTCCTCCCACACCGACTCTTTTGCTTCGTGGTGGGAGTGCTGGCTCCCTGTCATCACTGTCATCACGTGATATTCCCGGCACTGCACAGATGCGACCATACGGTCGCATCTGTGCAGTGCCGGATTACCCTCGTAGCAAAAGTAGCTGCATATGTAGTAGCTACATGTGTAGTAGCTACGTGTGTAGTAGCTACGTGTGTAGTAGCTACGTGTGTAGTAGCTACACGTGTAGTAGCTGCACGTGTAGTAGCTGCACGTGTAGTAGCTGCACGTGTAGTAGCTGCACGTGTAGTAGCTGCACGTGTAGTAGCTACACGTGTAGTAGCTACACGTGTAGTAGCTACACGTGTAGTAGCTACACGTGTAGTAGCTACACGTGTAGTAGCTACACGTGTAGTAGCTACACGTGTAGTAGCTACACGTGTAGTAGCTACACGTGTAGTAGCTACGGGCCCCGCACTTTCAAGGGCCCCGCGCTAAATGCTTTCAAGCTATCAATTCCGGTTCAGTGATTCTGCACTTGCTCTATTACTATAGTACTATACTGCCTTCAACTTTTATGAACGACTGGGTGTTTCGGGTTAGCGATTTATTGTATTATCTGGCTGTATAGCAAATCAAAAAATAGTATTACTTTACTATGCAAGTACAAAAATTGCGTTTAAATATTCACGTGTTTTTTTTTATATTTAGGGCGTTTTTATAACATATGCTACAGGCCCCGCATTAATTTAATCCGGCACTGCATCTGTCTGATCAGTTGTCGGCGAGAGTGGATATAGCGTTCAGAATCGCTTTTAGGTTGTTGCGTAAAAGTTGCTGCATTAGCGAAAAGTGGTGGTAAGGCGGTTTGCTGTTAGTGTGCATCGTTTGCACGTTTAGTCAACAAATAACAATGGTGTCATTTACTGGAATCCTGAACCAGAACTTTTATCGTGGAAAATGCAGTCAATTGGTTATTCTGCGATTGAGATGATATCTGCTTTGCCCTGTAGTAAAGCAACACATTTGCCAAAGTTAATACGTTAATCGACTCTTAATAGCTGATAGTTTAATTCGCAAATCTGTCCAATGATGTATGTCTGGAAGTTACCAACGTGTGCTTGCTATACTCTGACGTAGATACAATTGTCCCTGGGGAATAATTTGCTGGAGTATATGACGGTATGGATTGTCATAGCTCAAAGCCATAACTTAACACATTGTTTAACTATGATTAAATCGTGAATATCAATTAACCTCCACCCAGCTAAATAAAAAAGGCAGTTCGATTGAATTGAAGCAGTCAAACTACGTCTCCCGCGTGATAGAAGGATAAAAAAACCAACACTTAATCTGGGCGCCCCTGGCTCCTCCAAGTGATCTACCCGAAGTCCTAAATCATGCCCAGAATATCGGTGGACATTAGCGAGGGCCGCGTCCGATGTGAGGCGCGGCACGCGGGCAAGTGCCCGTAACTGCTCAAGGGGAATTAATTGCAGTCGGAAGCAACGCGATACGCGAGGGGCTGGATGTGTCCATGCCTGGGCACGCTGCCGAGCCGGGAGGCATGCTCGCTATCGCAAAACCAGACTCTGGAACGGTGACCGCTTGGAGCGCAGCCTGGGCTGTGTGCAGCCCTGAGCGTTACTACGATGGAGAGCTTCACACTTTATGATCTCGGAGGGCACGGGAGGAAGTGACCACTAAAGGTATATCTCTCTCTAGCTCTGACGCGCATTTTACTATAGGCATCTCTCGTGAAATAATCGATTATGATGCGGCCATTTAAAGAGAAAGCAGGAGGGGTGGCGCATAACTTACGTTTGTCTCAGGGTATTGAGCCACCGGATAATGTGAGCTTGAATCAGATGTCCCATGACGTGTAGTTTGTTGGTTACTCTCAGCCCTACGCGCTTATGTCTACGTGTAAAACATCACAGTTAGGTTTGCGTTGATTGAGTCTGCCCAAGCCCTGGGAATGAATGAGAACACCGCTCATTTTGTTTTTTTTTGCAATAACCGGCGTAAGGTGAATATTCACCGGCCTTGGGTAGGCAGCGTGGCACATTTGAAAGAAAAAGAATAACAATTTTTTTATAACTTTTTAAAATAAGTAAACAGGGTACACTATAGACAGGGAAGGGGGCCGTCCAAAAATGACGTAACGCACCTGGCGGGGGGGGGGGTCAGACATTTGTGACGATGTGTGACGAGGGGGGGGGGGGGAGAAATGTGACATCTCATTTAAATAAATATAGAATTGTTATAACAACACTAATTATTATAACAACACTCTTACAACATCAGAGTGCAGCGCCACATTAAATACGCACTACAATGACAATAGTTTAAAGCGATTTGAAGCATGTTTATTTTCAAAATGGAAATATGGTTTTTGGGGGGGGGGGGTGGCAGAGCTTTGTGACGTCATATTTGAGGGGGGGGTCTGACTTTTTGTGACGTCGTGTGACGAGGGGGGGGGGGGTCAAAAATCGTCCAAAATCGCGTGACGTCATTTATGGAAGGCCCCTAACACTACTGCATTGGGGACAGTCGGGGCACAGTGGTTAGCACAATGCCCCGTGAACCCAGTAACCTGAATGCTATAACACTAATAATTTATTTATCCAGGAGAGCCACACTGAGACACGCGTCTCCTATTCCAGGATGGTCCTGCAACTGGATATTATATTTGCAGATGTTTTCAGCCAATTAATGATGAGTCTTTATTATACACGTGGGAGGAAACAGGAGCACCTGGAGAAAACCCACACTCGAAAAGGGGGCAACACTCTATCCCCGTACAGATGGAAACAAATGGCGATTAATCCACTTGCGGTATCACCTCCTCCTGGTGAGCCAGGGTACGGCTCCTCCTCGATGCCCACGGGAAGGGAGTTTCGCATTGGTGCTGCGGTAATCCACCAACTCTTGCTGCTGCCTCGACATTGCGGGGATGGCAGCTGGCACGTGCACCGTAACCACCACTGAATGTGATTCGGGCCTAGACATTGCACCCACCCCCCCCCCCTGTTTCCCTCCTTCACAAAAGTCTACTTGGCCGGCGTGGTGAAGTAGGCTCCAAACAAACCCCTTAAACACTTCGGCATGGTGAACATTTATCAACGTTGTTTAAGTCAGGTGCCTCTTGCTGAGCTCGGCAATAACTTTGCCAAATAGTTCGCTGGTCTGCGCTGTACAAATGTCCACTGCCAGCATGCGCAAATGGCTCCTGTCAGAGCTCATCTCAGTGCTCAGTGTCTCCCATTCGTGTTCTTGGAATTAAAATGAAGTGAGAAGAATTGTTATTACATACACACAGTTGAGCCATTTGAAACCGTGCAACGGGTGGAGGTGCAGTGGATTCTCTCCGGCACGAAATCGGCCCCTCGGCTGTGCATTGTATGTAGGTTGAACTTCTTTTGCAGCGTATGTAACAGAATTGAGCCGATTTCATGCAAAAAAAATCATTCCGCCAAAAAGCGGCAAAACGTTGGCGCAATTTGCTACTTGAATCGCGACCCGAGGTGCAAAGCGTTGAGTGTGTCGATGTAGAATGTGGTCGGGAACAACGTACGAGCGAACACATTTTAAGTGCCGCACGTGCGTGGGTAGCATTGTGATACATGTGGCCAGCAGCTCCCGATATCACACATTCCTTTTGCTAACCGAGCTCAAACAACACCCGGCTCGGATGGGCCGTGTTAACGTCGCACACTCCGTCCAAGCGGCTGTGTGCGCATGGTGAGGGGCCAGATGTGTCCACGGCTATAACCGGGCTCTCTGGCAGCTGACCCTGCTTTGTGTAATGAGGCACAGGCTCTGGGATATTAAACGTAAAATGCGAAGCCTTCGAAGCATTTACAATTTAGGTGGGTTTCACCCGTGAACGTAAGAGTAATAATTTAAACCAACTTGCAGCTCTGCGGATACCTGCGTGCAGTCTGCAAATTTTAAAAATAAACCCAACTTAATACTGCATGCCGGAGAGGATGTCGGCACGCCTAAACCACATTACAGCGTGCATTTGCTGACAGGACCCGGTTTTCGATCAACAAAATGATTTTTATTTTACCAGGTAAGGCCCACTGAGCTTTATATATTTTTTCAGAAGCGACCTGGCCACAGAGGCTTATTACGTGCGAATTTATAGAAGTCAAATACTCTCAATGCACGTTTCTAAATGTGGAGAGAAAACTGAAGGACCTGGAGAAAAATCCACGCGACCATGGGGAAAGTAACATGCAAACTACAAATATATAGCAGGCGTCAGGGTCGGGATCGAACCCACGACCTCCTGTATACCGGGCGAGGTAGTTAACATCTCCATGGCCACCACGTTATTTAAGGACAGTGACGATATTTTCTAAGTTAGTTATAGGAAAATATGAACCTTGAGACATGGATTTTGTACCAAAGCAGCGATGCATTGAACTCATCGATTAAAATAGATTCTGACGCTCACGATTCAACCATCCAATCGTGTGAGTGACTATGCACTACATGTGACCCCTGCAGTCACTTGGGGCGCTACATTCACCACGATGTTACAAAATAATAAAAATATTTTTTTTTTATGAAATCGTGACCTCGAAGTGTGACAAATCATCGAATCACGAAGCAGTGATCACCACATGGCTACCCACAGTGGCTCTCTGCTGCGGATGCAGCGACGACCTTCATCTAACACCGACGAGTCGAGCAGCCTCTTCTTCGACGGGGACCTGGGAATTATTCTACGGGGGCCTTTAAATCGAGCAGCCGTCAACACCGAAGCCGCGGACTCCGCCGTCCGTGCCGAGTGGCCGAGCGAGCGCGTCGAGCGTTCGCTCATCGGTGCCGGAGCGGAGGGCGGTGAAGGGGGGTGGTGGTGGTGGTGCGAGCTCACCTGGGTACCCGTTCCCGTCCACGTCCACGGCGCCCCTCAGCGAGTAGCCGAAGCCGGGCAGAGCGCCGGCGGACGCCCACTGTCCCTGCAGGACCTGCGTGGGAGAGGTCCTGAGGCCGTCCCGGCTGCCGCTGTAGACGTGCACCAGGCCGCGCTGGTCCTCCCCGCCAAACGGGGCGCCCACCGCCACGTCTGCGACGACAACCGGGGACACGCGGGGGCCTGTTGGCGGGGGGGGGGGGGGGCGGCTGAGCGCGACGGCGAGAACTGCTCGATCGCCGTCGTCTTCAACCCCCCCCGAGGACTCACCCCCCACCCCCCCCCCCCCCCCCCCCCCACCCGCTGCCTACATCTCCCCTCTCGTCTGAATCCACGTGCTGTCCGCTCCAGCGACCGACCGTCTGCTGGTCACGGCCAGCTGTCGGGTGGTGCAGGGTCTTGACGACACAAATAGTTGCTCAGATCATGAAGTGGCCAAAACCTCCCCAAAAAAACGATTGCGAATCGGAATTGGCCGCGAAATGCTTCACGGGCGATTCGCGACACGTATGTACGCATGCACCGTATGTTGAACTTCTTTCGCATCGTGTGTGGGTCTCTCTGCGAGTCTGTGGGACTATGTGAGTCTGGGTCTCTGTGGGATTTTAGCACACAGCGTTGGTGTACGGTGCTTTTTCAGGAATATTTTGCTGTTTTTTCCTGGATTTTCTGTTTGCACAGTCACATAGTCACTTTAAGATCTTTTCTTGTTCATGTTTTTGTTTTTTTGTTTGTTGCGGTTGCACCCGATTCAAGAGCCGAATGGCTCACAGGGCTATACCAAAATAAATAAAACTGAAAACTGAAACTGACTCCCGCTCGGGTCTCCACTCGGCCGCAGGTCGTTCTTCTCTGCGGCTGCCCCTGTTGTTTGTAATTCTTCCACCCCCCCACCCACCGCTCATCCGTGCTATGGGACTCGCTTCCCCCTCGTCCAGCTGAAGCCAGCGGCTCTCCTACTTTTCCTACCTTTCCGTATCTTTTTGCGAAGCGAGTGAAATTCCCGCATTGGCGGCCTCTAACCCCCTTCGCTACCAATAATGATTATTTATTGTATCCAAAGTCCCTTCGAAGTAAATTGTCGCCCAATGTGTTTTTCTTTTTCCCAGAGCTTTGAGTTGCAGTTGCTTTTAGCAATGCCGACAATTCACACCGTCTTTGAGTTATTGTCCCGGATTGAAATGTGCGCTTCTCTCTGGCGATGGTTTTATCTGCACGGACAACTTTCCATGGGATGCTGTCTAATTTTACCGTTGCTGTAAGAGCGATGACCCTGGGTTGTGCGACGCTGAGAGTGCGCCGATGCTATCGGAGCTGTCCCACTAATTGCTCCCCGCTCTCTGAGCGGTCACAGTCTCTGAAGGGGGGGGGGGGGGGGCTCACATTCTAAGTGGCCACATCAAGTGCTGATGCTATCTAATCGTATAATCAGTGGGGCTGTGCGAGTTATACAGAGGAGGGGCTGCCAATGGATTGATGCTTCACAATGTTTTAAACTGTCACTAATACCTCTGCCATGGCTGACCATTGTTATAACGTTGTGGGCTCGCATGATATTGCTTTTTCCGAGACCAAGGGACTCTGCAAACCTTCGGGCTACTATCAAAGGTTTGTTCATGAAGCCATCCAGATATGTAAACATAGACATGACCTCAACCGAGAAGATGGATACAAATTGAGCAATCATTGGAAGGATGTTATTAACCAGGTAAAACCTTAACTGTTTATGGTTGTGCCATCATATTTGCCGGGTACGAGTCTATCTTTCTGAGTTAATTCCCCCCCCCCCCCCCAGCGTTCTCAGCCTCCCACTTCCAGCCCCGCCCACTCCCCCCCCCAATCTTCACGTCCTCTCTCCCCCTAGCGCTCAAGCAGCCCCCCCCACCCCCCCCCCCCCTCTCTCTCCCCCCTTGCTCCTCCCCCCCCTCTCTTACCTATATAACCTCTTGCCACGGCAACTCTCTCGCCCACTGCATTGTTGCTGCATTGGCACTCGTGCACCGCCCATGCTCCTGGTGCTGTTGCTACACTTGGGCTACGCCCATCCCCAGACCTTTATAAAAAGTTCGCCTTTAGAGGCCGACTGCTTAGCCTGATGACGACCGCTTGTGTTGCGATCGAAACGTCGTGATTTGTTTTATTTTATTTCTAACTACGTGACTTTACCAAAAGAACCAAAGAAGATGTCACTGAACTCTTTTTTGTATTTTACCAGGTAAGGTCCACTGAGCTATATATACAGTAGCTCTTTTTCAGACGCGACCTGGCTAGCATAAGTGATAGCTCAACGAAGTTACTTATCACGTGGACATTTATTTCAGACAAATACTCTAAACGCATGTTGATTTTAAATATGGAGGGAAAAAGCATACGACCTGGAGAAAAAAGCACGCGACCACGGGGACAACATGCAAACTCCAAATATACAGCAGCAGGCGTCAGGGTCGGGATCAAACCCATGGCCTCCTGCATACCAGGCGAGGTAGTTAACATTTCCTGGCCACCGTCAGGCAGCAGTAATTGAAAATATGGAGTTGCTATCAACTACTTAATAATATATACCAATAAATAGTTTTTTTAGTACAGTGATACTGTTTTGACAGTTGCACATAAGAACAAACTTAACACATTCTTCATTAACACTGCCCGAAAAGTAATAAATATTTACACCGGCATGTGTTGAGCAATAACCCTTCTATTCTCGACTATAAAGCAGGGCCCTTACTCTAAAATTCACTATCAGGGTGGTGTTTTCACGAATGTGTTGGGTTTATAACATTTACGACGGTTTCCTCAACAGTAATGCCTCTTTATTTTATTTCTCAGTAACTTTTGAATTAACTGATTACATACATTTTATATCTCATATTCATGGACACATCGTGAACACGCACGGCTGTTCCATGTTTTTCCACACTTCCTCGACGCATATGACGAATGTCTCGGTTGGATCATCGAATACTGGGAAAAGAACATGTTTCATTTCTTCAGTATTTGAAGCTGTACGCTTAACATTTTTTGTTAAATGAGGCAATCAGAAGCTACTGAGAAGAAATATACAACACGATATCAAATGTCAGGATGTGACGACCGTCGCGTTTTAAGTTTCCAATCACTTTGTAATAGTATTTCACTTATATTTTGTTGTGTTGTCGTGCTCTGCTGAACTTCCAGCGAGAATAAAGATCGCTTAAGAGTTTCTCAACTACGTAACGCTTATCCTGCACGTGCTGTCAGTAACCCAATAAAGAATTGAGGAATTAAATGAACTACCACAATGATGACTGCCTGTATCCGTCATATTGTCAATTACTCGAAATAACATCTCTCAAAGCACTCAATTAACAGGTTTTTATTTAGAACTTTCATTATTGAATTTGTTATATCAGAAACATAAATGTAATGATCCAGATCGTACGCTAAATTGAACAATAATTTCTTCAGAACTGCTTTGTTGTCTTTAGTTTGTTGTCCTTCCCCCGCACCTCCGATCAGAACGGCTGGCTATGCACGGTGTGACAGAAGATCAACGAACGCGTCAGGGCCGGATTAAGGCACGGGGCTTCTGTGGCTGCTGCCCAGGGGTCTCTGCCAGCTGGAGGGCCTCCAGAGATTTAAGTGAAAAGTTATTTCATTCGTGAATGCTGAATTGTATTTGTTGTTAGCCTTGTAAAAAGTACTATTTATTTTTTCTTCAACTTTGTTTGCAACCCCGAGGCCTACAAAATCTTCATCCGGCCCTGGTACACGTACATACAAACAAACATTGCTCCAAGTCCGACCGAGGCCCCTGACTGAGACCCAGCTTCTCGGCGACACTGGTTCGTGGCGCCCTCCCGCAGGCCGAGCTCCTCGCCCACGGGGGCCCTCCTCCTCATCTCTCTCCACCACCCCCGCCGAGCGCAAGCAGTGCATGCGGTCGTGGTGTCCCCGGGTACCGTTATAGCCGTCCTGGTCCAGGTCGCCCAGCGGGGCGATGGCGCTGCCGAAGCGCGTGTAGGTGTGGGGGCCGTCGAAGGTCTGCGGCTCGCGGAAGGAGAGCGGCCGCTCCTGCAGGAATGCGTAGAGGCGGCCGACCTCGCGCAGCGAGCTCTCGGACACGCGGCGCATGAAGAGCGGCGCTCCCACCAGCACGTCGTCCAGCCTGCCGCGGAGACACGAACAGCCACACACAGCTACACGCAGCCACACGCACAGCCATACCCACAGCCACACGGACAGCCACACACAGCCTCACGCACAGCCACACGCACAGCCACACACACAACCACACACAGCCATATGCGCTCACAGCGACACACATCCACACAGTCACACACACTCACACACGCTCAAAGCCACAAAGCACACACAGCCACACATGCTCACACGCATGACGCCTGTGGGATAGCACACTGCTAAGGCTACACTTTAGTAAAATTCATGACTGAGGTGCTCTAATTTACGGGTCCAGGGTGAGAAGTTTGGCACAGCCTTTGAGATCATCTGGCGTTTGTGAATGAGGCATTTGGGATCATCTGGGGTTTGTGAATGAGGCATTTGGGATCATCTGGGATTTGTGAATGAGGCATTTGGGATCATCTGGAGTTTGTGAATGAGGGATTTGGGATCATCTGGAGTTTGTGAATGAGGGATTTGGGATCATCTGGAGTTTGTGAATGATGGATTTGAGATCATCAGGAGTTTGTGAATGAGGGATTTGGGATCATCTGGAATTAGTGAAGGAGGCATTTGGGATCATCTGGAGTTTGTGAGTGAGAATTCTCAGGGGGTAGCTGGGGAGAGGAGACAGGGGATGCGGGAGACATGCAGGTGTAATGTGTGTGTATGTTGAACATCTTTCACACCGTACATAGCCAACCGCACTACACTGCGGTGCGGGCGAAGGACAACAAACTAAACACATGAAATGGAGGTCCTGCAGAGTCCAGATAATTAAGATAGGAATTATAATTAGCTTATTTTAGATTGATATTAACATTACCAATCCTGTGAAAAACTCCCGCAGCCACCCAAAGATTGATTTTACCATCAAAATACCATTATCTGGTTTTTAAATCTCCAATTCCATTTTTATCACCACATTTATCGATGCTAGCGGGTGTCGTAATGGACATTGATTTAAATTGATTTTGTAAAATAAAAAATGCAGATTGGATCAGGTGATTAGATCGACCATGAAAAGCATCAGATGAGATCCAAGTGGGATGGATATCACCCCAGTGGGTTCATTGGATCTTATCTGAGCTGCCAATCCCTGGAATGTATCGTTATTAAACACAGGGAAAACGGTACATGTCTTAAAATGACGTTTCATATATCTTACCGTCAAAATATGTCAATATTACAGGAAAACACCGCGTGGAATTAATTATTTGAGTAAAAAATGTCTGTCACTGCGTGCCACTAAAGTGTGTAGTCGATGCCCTCTCGGTTGAACTGTACCGGATTTGGGCTCGCCGGTGCTAAACGTTAAACATTATTAAAACTTATCAATCGCTTATGCAATTTTATATTGGGTTCTGTTTGGTTACATTGTCCCTCCTTCCCCTCCCCTTTCTCCCATTACCCTCCCTCCCCCCTTAATCACACTGCCCCTGATCGTTACCCCTAGCGCGGTAGGGCGGTGAGCTCGGATGCCCTCGATCGGTTCCCTGCTTATGAGGGTGCGTTACTCCCGGCCTGTTCAAACGTTGCCGGTTGTTCCTTCCTTCTGTGCGATATTCCCTCTGTATTTCTTAAACAAATAAACAATAATAATAAAACACGCTTCGAAAATTAAACGGATCAATCGCAATGCTTCAAAACGACATCGCGAACTCCTCTTTAAAAAAGAAAAAAGATATTTAAAAAAATAAAACGCATCCCCATCCAGAATCTTAAGGCCACGACCTTCGAGTATAAATGGAGGGCGCCGTTGGGTGGCGACCGTCCACCCGCTCGCTGCAGCCGTACTCACCGGTCACCATTGACGTCCGTGACCGCCACGGCGAAGCCGAAGTAAGAGGCCATCTGCAGGGGAGAGGGACGGAACGAGCGTGGCTGAGCAGCGACGCGGACGGACGAGCGATGCTCACTGCGGGTCGCACGCTCACAGCGCCGAACTGTTTTTTTTGTCTTGACTTAAAGCTTTCGTGACTGCAGGAATACATATTCTGTGGCTCTTTCGGTAAAGCCACCAGGTGAAGACGATTGCTTTTGTTGCGATCGAAACGTCGTGATATTTTGTTTTATTATCTTACGTGGCTTTACCGACAGACCCATAGAATACTGCTTTTTGTGTTTAGTCTGTTGTCCCTCCACCGCACCTCCGATTAGCACGGTTTGGCTGTGTACGGTGCAAAAGAGGTCCAACGTACGTACTTGCCGTCACGTTCGGTTACCCAGGAAAGCCTCGCCGAGACTCGGGGCTGTTTCAGAGGGCTTGCACAGTAGGTTGGCGATGTCGCTGCTGTGTGTGATCCCAATGGAGTAATTTGCAGGTATTTTATTACCACCGGGATTCTTGGTCAATACCAATTACATTGTATAGCTTTTAGTTAGGTCACCAACTGGCATTTAACGTTAAGATAGCGCGAAAACTGATACTGCTCACGATTGTAATGCAGCGAGGCCGGACCCCCTCGTTCGATCCCGAATGTTGAGGGTGCATTACATTGAGCTTGTTACACATCATCTGCTATTTTTCCCCTCCCCTCTTTTTGAAATCGACTTTGTATGATGGGTTCTTTCATGACATTGCATTAAAAAAAAGATACCGTGTAATCACAATAAAGTAATTAATGCTACTTCTGTGAGAACGTCACTGCATTTGCCAGAGAGGCCTGTGAAGGTGCGGCAGGATTGGCGGAGGATGTTAAATGAATGAACGGTCAGTTTGAGATGGAGGGTCTGGGTCGTGATGGCAGCACCGGGTCTGATGTCACGGAATCTCGAGACTCAACGGCAGCAATGTGGCAGTGATTTCACTCCCCCACCCCTCATTCCCCCTCTCTCCCACCCCCCACCCGCCCCCCCCCCCCCCCCCCAAAATGGTGTTTTATTGATATTTACCACCGAAATTGTATTGATTGAGTGTTGTTCTTGATTAATGCAGGGGGCCCTATTTAAAAAGCTTGAAATTTCAGGACCGCTGTCCATCCCCCCTGGGAAGTTTCACTATCCGCCTCCGTCTACCGCCATCGTCGTAGCGAACAGGCGGCTTTATTAGCCGCCCACTACGATCGCCAAGGCAGCAAGCGGGAATTAAACCTTTGACCACGGGGCCAGCCCAGCTGCCCTCTGAATAGACGAAGAGCTCGGATGGATTGCTTTTAGCACAGCCATGCCTGACGCAGTCACCCACGTAGTGGCGTGCACACAAGAGCACTCTGACAAACAACATCAGCAGCAGCAGCAGCTGTTGTCGGCAAGCAGCAGTGGCGACTGTTGGGATTAAACTAAAACTTTTTTTTATTTGTAAGAGGTAAGGCCTTCACTGAGCAACACAGCTCCTTTTTTAAAAGCGACCTGGTTATCACAAATGATAGCTCAAGGAAGTGGGCTTATCGTCACGTGGACATTTATAGCAGCCAAATACTCGAAACGCGTGATGTTGCTTCTGCATGTGGAGGGAAAAACCGGAGGACCCGGAGAAAAAAATCCACGTGACCACGGGGAGAGAACGCAAGCTCCAAATATACAGGAATCGTCAAGGTAGGGATCAAACCCACAAGCACCTGCATAGCAGGCGAGGGAGTTAACATCTCGTCACCGCGAGGACGTGGTCGCATCGTGGGGTCTCTCTGACTCCTACGCGTCTCACCTGCTCGCCGCTGAAGTTATGCACGGAGGTCATGTTGTCCGCTTCCAGGATCGCTACCTGGACAAATGAAGAATAGGAAAGGGTGAGCATTAAACCGTCAAATTTGCCCAGCTCAGTGGCTACGAAGCATCAGTGACGGCATTGTCGGTGGTGCCCATGCCTTACAGCATTTGTTCCACGTTCCTTGTCACTGCGTCTGGTGCGTACGGCGCAGCTGGCTGTAGGCACCAACTGCAAATTTATTTAAGTTCCCAACCCCCCCATCCCCTTACGTTGATGTCCACTCCCTATTGGCACGGCGTTTCGAGACGTCATTGTGCATGTTAACAGCAACGGTGGAAGCAACGCTGCCGACTCCTTCAGCAACGTGAAGATCCAAGGCCGGCCAGCGGCACGGGATACTTACATATCCCACGGAGCGGAACCCCTTGGGAACTCCTGCCACGTACTCTGCGAGACCAGGGATAGGGAGGGACAGCGGTGCAGAGTCGTTAGCCAGATCCGCCTAGAGACCTCAGGCCGAATGCTCAGCTTAACGCTGTGTTGCCCTGAACGTGAAAAGCCTCACTGAGTCTCAAGACTTTTAGATTCAGGAGGGTCCTGCCAAGTTTGTGCAAGAGGGAGCGATGCTTCTTTGTGATATACCAATTTATGTTATTGTTTTCGGATACATTTTCAGTATTGACATGTTTTGCCCAATATCAGTTACATTTCTACGTTTTTATTTTAAACTTTGGTAGGGAACTGGAGAAGCCGGAGTAAATCCATGCAGAGCAGGAGGAGAACATACAAACTCCACACAGAAAGGCGCCAGGGTCGGAAATCGAACCCAAGTCCTTCTTGGTGTGAGGCGCGTATGTTACCACCATGCCACCACCCTGTCACCACCATGCCACCCAAAATGCAAATCTGACGTCATTAAATTATGGGACCATGCTGAGAACCACGCTTGGAATGTACAGTAAAATTGAATACCGCAGATTTTGTTAAAGATTGCAGATATTCTGAAATGATATTACAGTATTTTCATTTGGGCAGTAATTACATTTCTAAAAAGAGTAACATAACATATTTTAGTTGATCAATATAAATACCATTTAATGTCCATTAATCAGCCAAAATCCCATAGGAAAATATTACAATTCTCAAACTGGAAACGTGAAACCATAAATAAATGTCCGCTTCACCACTGAAATGAAAATCCATTCAGGTTCATCAGCCAATGGATCCATCTCAGACAGTGCTTCCCAGCAGTATTTGCTTAAACAGGCAAACCCAGGACATCAGCTACACCACGCTGATGAGACTCATGAAGTAAAAACAAGTGCAGCGTTTGCCTGCGTTAGATAGTGCTCCTGATGGGCAAACATTGTTCCAGACTTTACCGAAAGAACCAAGAATATGAATCCCTGCAGTCACGAAAGCTTTAAATCGAAATTGTTCCAGAAGGCCATCAGGCCGACGAAGCTGAATGTCGTTTCACGGTATAGGTGGGAGTGAAACAGACTCTAACCTGCGCGTTTATGTATTCACCTTTTTACCCAGACTTCACAAAATCAGGAAATAAAAGGTAATGTGCAGCCCCGCCGTTGTTTATTCACGCCGGCAGAAGGGCCTCCACTCGATGAGGTTCTTAGACAGCCACTCTCGACGGTACTTTGTCTACTCTTCCGCGGTGGCCAGATATCCTGTAAGAGGTGGGACTACCCACACTTTATCGACGGACTGTGGTGTTACCATTTATACTGCCCGGTGGACAGAGGTGAGCGTATTTAAGAAACTGGAAGGGCATACCATCTCAGTGAATTCACGGGTTGAACACATGCATTTCTCAAACCTAAACTGTGGCAGCAACAGAGTAGTGGGGCTAGGACTCTGCACAGTGTCACGTGGTTTGTAAAATCAGCTCTGTCGCGGGAGGCATGCGGCTACCGCTGTGATTCCCTTACAGCCATTACGGAGCTAATCAGACTGTGTACTCTGCTTTGTGGTGGGTGGGTGTGTTTGGTGTGCGCTGACCACTTTCAAACCAAATCGTGTGCTTATCCCCGGGCCACATTTAAAAGTAGAACTGACTTTTACGTTTACTTTTGTGCAGAGAAAGAATGTCCAGTGCAAAGAATATAACAGACATGAATACCTTATATAAATATGGACATATATGTCAGCAGCGGCGGTGCAATTACCTTGCTTCAAATCACCAGTAAATTCTCCAACAGCCACAGAGTACCCTGTGTAAAAAGGAAACGTTATGAACACTGCATCGACCAACGAGGGAGCCACATTTAGAGGCATTTATGGCATCTGCATTATTTATGGACAGCGCACTTAAGTGACGTTCAAGCGAATTTAAGGAATGGAGGCCGCGGTGCAAATCTCTGCAATCAGCGTCTGTATTGGATGAGCCCAGGGCCGATAGAATCTTATCAGTAGTCGTGGTTGCAAGCGGCACATTATCCAATCCTCTCCGAGGAGGGTTTGTGGTATTCATTGAACCGACTGGAGATCCATCTGCCCCGAGGTCACAGTTGCGATGTCACCAATTCCCAGAGCCCTGCTGTAAGTCCTCGTTGCCTCTGGGAGGCTGCCCTGCCTTTGGTAGTTGCACTCCAATCGGCACAACTGAATGTAGGGATACGCGATAGGGTAAGGAGGAGGGGGGGGGGGAGTCTTTCTGACAAGATCAGCGTTGGCTGAGGATGTGCGGCTTTTGCGAAGCTCACAGAAGAAGGGGAGCGAGGACAAGGAGCACTGAGGGGCGGCGGCGGCGGTGGTGCAGCACGCCTGGGGGTTGGGGCCCCTCTGGGTGACAGCACGGGAGTCGACTGCGAGCGGCGTACGTGGACAGTTGCGGCCTCTTTTAGAAACGAAACCTCCATACATCCCAAGTGGAGGGGCGTGGTCAGGGCGGCCAACTTTTATCATCTCGCTTGTTTGCGAACGCCCACGTTTCTTGAAAATAAAGTATTTCGTTGGGTTCAGATCGCGTAAGTATAAATGTGTCGTAAAGAACCCACATTCCACCTGACACAGCCAGTTCGCGAGGTTTGTCACGCGGGACAAAACGTGCCAACAACGAGTGACCACTTCAGTACCACCGGTGTGTCGGAGAGCAAACGCACAACATTTGCGAATAGAGTTCACGACGTTTCGCTGGCGATTGACGAGTCGACCTTTCTTGAGACTGGCAATGCTGGGATACACGAACACAACGACGTAAAACACCCGAGGAGACCGCTCCATCCCCCGGTTACTCGGCTGTAATCACACCCCTCTCCCCCCGTCCGGTGCGTGTGCCCCCATCCTTACGACCACAGGACTACACGCGAGGACTTTCTGACGCGCTTCTGCGGCCGCCCGCAACGCCCTTCCTTCCGATATCGGGAAGCCACTGGAGCTGCGCACTGCTAAATCATCGTCTAGATTGACAAACTAATTTCTTTAGAACGAACTTCACGTGATTCTATTTTTGTTGTCCTTCCCCCCGGCACCTCCGATGAGCGAGGCTGGTTATGCACGGTGTGACAGAAGATCAGCGAACGCGTCAGGGCCGGATCAAGGCACGGGGGGCTTCAGGGGCTGCTGCCCAGGGGCTTCCGCCAGCTGGAGGACCTCCAGAGATTCAAGTGAAAAGTTATTTCATTCGTGAATGCTGAATTTAATTTGTTGTTAGCCTTGTACAAAATCCAGTACATACTGCACCGCCGTCTGGGCAGCCTGCACGTCCCAAGGCGGTGCAAGGATTTCCCCGCACGAGGCTGCGCGCGACTCCCATCCCGGGCGTTGCACGCGCAAAGACACGGGGTCCGCAATTTGCCCGTGCGGGAAGTGAGCGTTTAGTCCTCGGGGCTCGCTCAACGTGCGCACACACAAAGGGGCCCAATGGCTCCTCTCTCGAAGTTAGGGCAGGAAACCAAGAGAGGGATCATATTCACGTTCCACTCTCCGTGCCGCCGCCTGGACCGCGGTGAGTGCGGGGGGTGGGGGGGGGGGGGTGGCTGGGTGTTGGAGTTGCGCTGTCAGCCGACTCAGAAGGTTGGCGCATGTGGTTTGGCCATTTTCGCGGCCGCTCCTTCACGGCTCAGACACCGACGCGTATCGCAATTCATTTTCCAGTTGACATCTGAGTGCAATAATAATAATATGTATCATTGCCCCCACGTAGACCTGGCGTGCATTGTTAAGTTTTGCTTTTCATACGTGAAGATGCGCCGACCAAAATAGATAATTATTTGGCTTATCCCCACCGTTTAGTTTATCCTTCCAATATTAGGATTCCACTGGAGCTATGCATTTTTAAATCTAGACTGAAAATTCATTTCTTTAGAGAACTGCCTTTTGTGTTTGGTTTGTTGTCCTTCCCCCGGAAACCCTGATTGGCACGGTTGGCTACGTACGATGCGAAAGAAGTTCAACGTACATCCATACATCTTCTACACTGACCTGGCTTTTGCGCTCCACGCTCGTGTGTGCGCAAAACCAGACGCCTCAAACGAAGCGCGCACGGCCGCGTTGGCAGTGATGTGGAAGCGCAGGCTGAAAACCCATTACCACCACCATCATCACTGCGCTGCCCTGTAACTGAATAACATTTTTGGGCAAAGTCTCTTCCTCCCCTGGCAATTGCCCAAAACGTTAGCTTCATATAAACATTCAATTTATAAGGCCACGGCAGTAAACTATCGAGTAAAGTAGACGGTACTGTATCGTGCGTGCACAGTCGTGCCCTGCGCAGCCTTGCGGCCAGGGTGTAGCTCATGGAGTGGAGCAGCGTGATCGTGAGACCACGGGTCGCAAGACCACAAACTCAAACCGCCCGAGTGGAGTCGCCTCGGCACTCCGTCGTCGTCGCGTGGCTGGTTCAATAAGCGGCGCTCACGTCTGCTGCGACAACGAGATGGACCTTGAGACTCTGAGCGAAACGAGCGAACGCCCTTCACGAACCGGTGACCCCTGCAGTGGCCATCTCCACCAAGGACTCGCTCTCAACGTATAACGTACGCAGTCGGCACAAATCGCTCGGAACCAACAACGGAAATAAGCACTGCCCCACCCCCGACCCACGCCACGCTTGTTGGAGCATGGGACGGCTAAGCCCGTACACGTGCGGAGAGCAGGCGGAGCGTGGGCATTGCACGCGCCACGTGCGCAGAGGCTGTCCATTGGCCGCTGCTTCAACACGTGCCGTGATGAGCACTGCAGTGTCAACGATTGCCTCTGCGCCAGTGGTTCTTAACCTTTGCCAGCAGCCTCGTGCCCCTTTGGTTCGCGATGGTTTATAAAGGCACAATGTTAACACGCAGGTTTGATGAAACGAAGTCGTTGTGTTTGCGTGCCCGTGCTTCATTTGTGTTTCTGTGATTTAGCTTCTTAAAACATCTGGGCATGTCTCGCACCCCCAGAAAAGGGCATCTCGCACCCCCAGGGGGTGCGTGCACGCCAGGTTAAGAAGAACCACTGGTCGATGCCGACACCCCTCGTCTGAACATCCCCATCTCTACTCATAGAAATCAATATCACCGTCTGGATCTCCAACACAGTTACCGTATTGGCAACGTCACATTGCCTTGTATACTCCCTGGAAGAAACAAAACGAGCGCTGTGGCAATTTAAAGACCAAGTGGATTCTCGCTCTCCCCACGGAAAGCCGACGGTGGAGCCGAGCAATGAGGCGCGCGCGAAAACACGCGGCATACCCCCCCCCCCCCGGCCAAAAACGTGCGAGACATGTTTAAGGAAAAATGATAAAGCAGTCAAAACATTCATCGCTCCTCCTGCTGCTGCTGCCGCTTGTGCAGACGTAGGGATGGGCTCTGTTGAGGAGGCCACGGGAATATCGATGGCCCTGCCTCCTGTCTGCCTCTTCGGGAGTCGCTGCGCGGTGCACTCGACGAACGGCACCTTGGGCTGCGTGCATTAAACGTCTGCACAAGTCAACTGCGCGTGATGAAGCTGTGCTGCTTCCTAGAAAAGACTTTCTGGGTCCCTTAGATATATCTCATATCCAACTACTTCATATTTTACGATAGACGCGAGTACAGCTTAACTGTGATGGAATTTTTTTTTTAAAGGCAGCTCATTTTCTGCTCAAATGAACCATCACGTGGTGCTCATTGCTTGTTTATAGCCCCTGAGCCAATGTTGGAAAATCCACATTCCCTATGGCGGGCGTGAGTCTATCCGTAGGGTAACTTCTGTTGACTTCCCACGAAGTGGTACTCATTTTACGGACCCCCGGATGTTTGAAGGGCCGAGTTGGCACCCAATTGTGGTTCTGAACTCGCACCGTTCTCTCGATCATTACTGCCAATTTACTTTCCCTACGATTACTCCACTCGGTTACACTCAGAAACTCCTCGGTGAGTCTCAGGACTTTTTCACAGGAGGTTCCTGCCAGAGTGATCGTAGCCGCGGGGTGGATGTTGTTGTGTGTGTTCCCAATTGAGTAATGTGCAGGTAATTTTTTTCAGAAATTGGGATGTTTTGGTCAATACCATTTGGGAAATTTGCAGTGTACATTTTCAGCATCGTCATATTTTCGTCAGTACCAGTTCAGTTACATTGTGTGTTGTATTAGCTATGGTAGGAATCTGGAGAACCCGGAGGAAACCCACGCAGAACAGGGGGAGAGAGAACATACAAACTTCACACAGATAGGCGCCCAGGTCCTGAATCCAACCCAGGCCCTTCTTGATTACAAAACACCCTGCATGCGTCCAAAGATAGAATAAACGGTCTACACCCTCAGTAAGAGCACCGTGAGGGAGAGAGAGGAAACAGCGCACTTCAGGGATGCTAGCGACAATTATGTTCACAACGATGGACTACATGAAAATGAAATTTGGGGCATCGTCATATAATGTAATCGTATCAATTTAAACAAATCGTTTCACTCCACCCCGAACCTTTGTTAGGATTGAACGAAATAAAAAGCAGTGAATGGGCTCTCCCAGAATGCTATCGTCAACATGTTTCATGATTCTTGTATACGAATCAGAAATCGAACCCAGGCCCTTCTTGCTGCGAGACACGAGTGTCACCCCCCTGCTACGTAACTTTAGTATCGGCCAGTTCGCACATTGTGGGAAACATTTGACACCCCTTGTGAGTCTGGCCCCGTCACCAACACCGAACCTTTATCCCTGGCGCGGCTTCAAGAGAGCCTTGTTGTCCAAATAGGCTAAGCAGGCTCTCGGCAAGTTATACCCAATGGTTAGGAATAAATGAACCCGAACCGACGTGTCACACTGGCCATTGATCAGCGGCAACAATGTTCGTTCGCCTCGCTGTCAGGAGGCGTTCATCCTTTACATCCGCGGCGGCGGCTGAGGGGCCGTGCCGCCGGGCCCCCTGAGCGAGAGGGCGGCCTGTTTGTCGGCCTGCTCTATAATGGTGGCCTCTGTTTGGTCGGCGCAGAGGCACGGCCGCCGCTCCGAGTGCTTATTGTTAAGCGGGCAGGCGTTGTGGGTGCCGCGGTGGCGAGACGTTAACTACCTCGCCTAATGTACAGGAGGCCATGGGTCCGATCCCGACCCTGAACGCCTGCTGCATATTTGGAGTTTGCGGTGTCTCTCTCTCTCTCTCCCTGTGGTCGCGTGGGTTTTTCTCCGGGTCCTGCATTAGCTATGGGAGGAAACCCCAGGGAGTACAGGGGGAGAGAGAACATACAAACTCCACTCAGAAATGTACCCTGATCGGGAATTGAACCCAGGAAACCCTTCTTGCTTTGAGGCATAAGTGTTTACGACTGCACCACCACCAATCGGGCAACAATACCTTGAGCCTAAACGTTTCCGCTTCAAAGTGGAAATTCTTGTCATTTGGTTATCAATAATCTCAATTGCATTTCCTTGTCGTCGCTTAGAGTTCCATCGGTGGCAGTCTGAGCCTCCGCCTCCCGGTGGGCGTTGGCTCAGTCGTCCAGCAATGAGAAAGATTCTCACCGCCAGCCTGAAGCGGGCGTCTTCCCTCCCGCACTCCGTGTGCAACACAATACAAGCACTCCTCTACTTACGAACACTCGACTTACGAACTTTCGGAGATACGGACAAGCCTGTCCCATACGTCCAGTTGCCTGTTTCGGGCCGAGAGTCGTAAGTTCAACCGCCGCGCAATAGATAGCGGTGATGGCATCTACATCTGCAGAACGTGAGGAACCAGTGGCATCTACATCTGCAGAACGTGAAGAACCAGTGGCATCTACATCTGCAGAACACGAAGAACCAGTGGCATCTACATCTGCAGAACGTGAAGAACCAGTGGCATCTACATCTGCAGAACACAAAGAACCAGTGGCATCTACATCTGCAGAACGCGAAGAACCAGTGGCATCTACATCTGTAGAACGTGAACAACCAGTGGCATCTACATCTGCAGAACGTGAAGAACAAGTGGCATCTACATCTGCAAAACGTGAAGAACCAGTGGCATCTACATCTGCAGAAAGTGAAGAACCAGTGGCATCTACATTTACAAAACGTGAAGAACCAGTGGCATCTACATCTGCAGAACGTGAAGAACCAGTGGCATCTACATCTGCAGAACACGAAGAACCAGTGGCATCTACATCTGCAGAACGTGAAGAACCAGTGACATCTACATCTACAGAACGTGAAGAACCAGTGGCATCTACATCTGCAGAACGTGAAGAACCAGTGGCATCTAAATCTACAGGAGATTATACAACTTTTGAAGTGTTTAGTGTACATTCCGTACAGCACGTTTGGAATCGACATGAGTAAAGTTGGAATTACGAATACATCGACTTACGAACAGACCTCTGGGAACCTAACTCGTTCGTAAATAGAGGAGTCCTTGTATCTCCGCTTCTTCACCGGGACTTTGCAGATTAAAAAAAGAACACGAGCATAGCGGCGCGCATGATCACCTACCGGAGTTTGTCGGTTTATTTTACAGATGAATGGCCGTTGTTTAAGAGCAAGCATGCAGAAAGCAGAAACAGCGGAAAGGGGGGAAGATTGTTTGTTGAATTTACTAATCGCGACCGCCGAGGCCACGAGGGCAGGGACGCATTTAATGGCACCACATGTTTCAAAAAGGACATTCCTTTTGGTTCCTTTGGAGCGACCACTTAAAAAGCCTGCGATCCAAATAAGTCTCGATAACATTGGGCCCCGTACTCATTACTATCGTTAATCTCCCTCGCCTAATGTATCCATCACCGTTGTCCGTAAACAGAAGGTCTCGGCCGTTGTGATGAATGCAGAGGCGCTGCCTGTAGGCTTGCAGTGGCCTGGCCATGCGTTACGCTAACTCGGAGTGTCCAAGACGCCAATTAGCTGTAATTCTGTTTGTCTGGATGGAAGGGAAACGACCCCACGTGGGCAGGCGACGTGTGGGGTCGTCACACTCACCCGTGTGGGGGTCTGTCACACCGTCACACCGTCACACTCACCCGTGTGGGGGTCCGTCACACCGTCACACCGCGACACTCACCCATGTAGCTGTCGTCGTGCGAGGACTGCCGCGCCCGGCTCTGCGTCTCCCCCTGCACCGCCTGGTTGATGTACGTCTCGTTGTGGCTGCCCAGGACCGCGTGCAGCGGGGCCGCGATCAGCTGCCCTGAACACGGCCGACAACAATCGCCACCGTCGGTTCAAACGGCCCCGAGGGACATCTCCCACGAGGAACTAGAAACAAAGACAAAGGGTCTCCATCCCCTCCACACCAACACCCCCAGGTAGCCTCCGCAGACTGGTAGGGGCAAGTGCTGTACCGTTAACCAGCAACTAATTAAGGCCGACACGGGAAAGAAACGAGGGCCATTGTCTGGCCAGCACCACCCCCGGCCGGCCGGTCGGCATTTGCCTCCCCAGGCGCTGATGTTTACCCCGCACACACCACACAGACAGCACACACCACACACACCGCACACACCACACACACCGCACACACCACACACACCACACACACACCACACACACCACACACACCGCACACACCACACACACCGCACACACCGCACACACCACACACACACACCACACACACACACCACACGCACACCACACACCACACACACCGCACACACCACACCCACCACACACACCGCACACACCACACACACCACACACACACCGCACACACCACACACACACACCACACACACCACACACACCGCACACACCACACACACCGCACACACCACACACACACCACACACACCACACACACACCACACACGCCGCACACCACACACACCGCACACACCACACACACCACACACACCACTCACACCACACACACCGCACACACCGCACACACCACACACACCGCCCACACCACACACACCGCACACACCACACACACCACACACACCGCACACACCACACACACCGCACACACCACACACACCACACACACCGCACACACCACACACACCACACACACCACACACCACACACACCACACACACCAAACCACACACACCACACACACCACACACACCGCACCAGGCTCTCGTTTTTAATCCGAGTCGGCCTAGAGCAGGAGGCCCAGGACCAGTTCAAGATATTATTCGCCACCCGCTGGTAGTGCGGTGCGTGGCACACGCTGGTAGTGCGGTGCGAGCCACGCGCTGGTAGTGCGGTGCGTGCCACCCGCTGGTAGTGCGGTGCATGTCGCCCGCTGGTAGTGCGGTGCGTGCCACGTGCTGGTAGTGCGGTGCGTGCCACGCGCTGTGCGACCAGCAGGAGAACAAACGATGCAGGGGCAGCTTCTTACTGTTTTTTTTTAAATCACCGAGGGCGATTGTCAAATTGCAGCCACTGGCTGAAAGTCCGTAAATGGAAATGATCACTGCCCCTCACGCACCAGAACAACAACAACAACACTAACAAACAGTACCGTGTTATAATAAGCATTATAACGAGAGTAAAATATCTCCTTTAGTAAGTAGGCAGCGTGTGGGCTGCGGGCACAGGCGCCGTTTCGGGGCAGGTTACCTTGTGCAAGGGATCCCTGTTTGTCATGGGGATGCTAACAAACGCCGCCAAGGGACACGTGTTAGCCCCCAGTACATCCTGGATCCCTGAAGCCACCGTACGCGTGCCGCAACAAGAACAAGCATTGATTCTTGAACCGAATCACAACCCCCACTGATTGTGACAATGCTTCTTCTACTCATGAGTAGAGCGTTGCTAGCCGCGAGAGAAACCACGGGCAAGGCATGGAAGGGAGACGCAGTCTACGGCGAAACCACGGTGGGGTTTTTTTTCTCTCTCTCTCTCTCTCCCTCTCTCCAAAAGAACCGTCCACGTGTTTGCGGCAATATTCGCCGTGCTTGTTTGGTTGCGTTTAGACAGCGAGGTCTCACCACAAAGAGGGACAGGGCCGGTTATTTACGCCCCACGGCGGAGCTGACGATCCGAGGAGATGTCGTGGTGATGAGGAGAGTGGTGGAAATAAGACGAATGTCTGTGATCGTCAGCTGAGCTACGCGAGTCTCTCTTGACCTGTCATCAAGTTGACAATAAATGAATGCCTCTCTGCCATTGCTGCGAATTGATATACTTAATATCGGTGTCCTTGGCTAATTTTCAGAGGAGGGCAACTTTCGCCGATGAGACAGCATCAAGTGTGAGGGCCGCCACGCATTTCAAACAGTTGGGGTTTGACAGCAGCAGCACGATGATGATGATGATGTGGGTGGTGTTCACTTGTTGTGTATTGTTGGGGGCGCACCTCAGGGACCGCATTAAAGGCCACCAGGGGCAGCCAGTGGCTCGCGGGCCTTGCAATGAAGAACACGAAGCAATAGAAAGTACAATAAAGTATAACATGATCGTCTTGACATCTGTCCTGGATGATACACGGAGGGCGTCAGGGAATATGAACACTCACAAACAACAACCTGGACCACTGTGGCCTCTTATTCCAAGGAACACTGCCTCGTCGATTGCCGTCTTCGCCACCATCGCTCCTTTCTGGCAGACTAACGCCTGCAAGCAGGCCAAGTGCCGGGTCACCTTGTGCCACACAGGGGCAGCTGTCACTTGGGGTGCCCCTTCCATCGTATGAGATGAGATGCGATGTAAGTCGCTTCTCGTGTATAAGGTGCTAAGACGTGCCGGCGTAAAGGAGGGTGCTCCATCAACAAGAAGTCGTCATCATCATGGCTCATTGCCTGAATATAACTCATAGCTCTCAGCGGTGGTTAACTCAGTGGCGTTTAACTTGATTTGGAGCTTTCGTGACTGCAGGAATTACTCTTTGGTTTTTTCGGTAAAGTCACGTAGAAATAAGAAAATATAATAAAATAAAATTACATAATAGCATACGACGTTTCGATTGCAACGCAAGCAATCTTGTTCAATTTGATGTGCTTCTCCATCTCTCTGTTTCCTCTCTCTCTTAAATTTAGCTCTTCTATACCTGACGATGACTGCTTGCGTTGCAATGGAAACGTCGTATGCTATTATGTAATTTTATTTTTTTATTATGATTTCTTATTTCTACGAAAAAACCAAAGAGTCAGTGGCGTTTACCCCACGAGCCGCCCTGGCCACCGCCCATTGGGGGTCAATGCGTCCTCATCGCCAAGTTAAGTTTAATGTTGGCAACGTTTAGGACCCGGTTCTTTACGACGGTAGCCGTCCGGCGATGAGTAACGTCGCGAGCACGCCTCGAGCTGCGGAGAGAAGCGCGCACGTGGCCACGCCACCAACGTAGCCACCGTGGCTGTGAATATGCGCAGTGCCCGGTTAAGCTAGTGCGGGGCCTGTAGCATATGCTATAAAGGGTCCCTTATTATATTTTTTAAATACATAAACATTAAAACACTAATATTTAACTTGCATAGCAAAGTAATTGTAGTTTTTTATTTGCTATACAGCCAGATGATACGACAAATCGCTAACCTTAAACACCCAGTCGCTCATAAAAGTCGAAGGCGGTATAGTACTATAGTAATAGAGCAAGTGCAGAATCATTGAACCGGAATTGATGCGGTGCCCGTAGCTACTACATGTGTAGCTACTACATGTGTAGCTACTACATGTGTAGCTACTACATGTGTAGCTACTACATGTGTAGCTACTACATGTGTAGCTACTACATGTGTAGCTACTACATGTGTAGCTACTACATGTGTAGCTACTACATGTGTAGCTACTACATGTGTAGCTACTACATGTGTAGCTACTACATGTGTAGCTACTACATGTGTAGCTACTACATGTGTAGCTACTACATGTGTAGCTACTACATGTGTAGCTACTACATGTGTAGCTACTACATGTGTAGCTACTACATGTGTAGTAGCTACTTGTGCTACTGGGAGAATCCGGCACTGCTGCTACTGCCACGCCACCGCCGCCACCGCCGTGTTCTTGTGAAGTGCGACGGAATGGTGCGAGCGCGAGGTTTCAAAGCGGCTTGCGTGGCGGGCCAGCAAGGGAATAATCGGCGTGGCATGATGAAGATAGACGAGTAACACGGCGGGGTCAACAGGCAGGTGGGGCTCGGAACATCGTTCAAAGCATCGCCGGGCGTAAAAGTGGTGGTGGTGGTGGGACTTGATTTGTAACGAGTTCTGTTACACCGGTATTGCTGTGTGGAACTTTATTGCAGGATTCTGCACAGTTCTGATGTTTGTAGTTTAAATGGGAGGCAACAGTGGTGACAATGAAACAGAGGCAAGAGAGGCAGACAGAGCCGAGTCCTCAAACAAGACAACTCTCGACTTGATTCTGTTAAGAGGGTTTTTGAGCTGACTGGCGTATCAGAACAAGTCCTCTCTCGTGTGGCAGAAACTTAAATAAGCACCGCTGTGCGGTTTCATGAGAAATATCCTTCAAGAAACCCTCGTTTGTCCCACGCGATTCGTCGTATTTGAGCTCAATTCTGGCTGTGCGAGCCACGGCCCGCGGAAACGACCACGTGCACTCGCAACTGCTTGCCGCGTCCTCCGCTACCTGTGGCTGAACTGTGGATGAATTGTAGCCGCTGCAAACAACTCCGAGAAAGGCCGCATATTCAGTGCCGGATTATCCTAGTAGCAAAACTAGATACGTATGCTACGGGCCCCGCACTTTCAAGCTATACATTCCAGTTTAGTGATTCTGCACTCGCTTTATTACTATAGTACTATACCGCCTTCGACTTTCATGAACGACTGGGTGTTTAATGTTAGCGATTTGTCATATTATCTGGCTGTATAGCAAATGAAAAAATACAATTTACTATGCAAGTAAAAATTTGTGTTTTCATATTCATGTGTGTTTTCTTTTAAGTAGGGGCCCCTTTATAACATATGCTAGAGGCCCCGCACTAGCTTAATCCGGCACTGCGCATATTCACAGCCACGGTGGCTACGAATTCAAGCTGCTTCGTGGCCGATGTGAGAAACGACCTTGACCAGAGAAGGAGAGAGTGATTTAACTTGTTGGTTTTACAGCCAAATTGCCACAACAGCGGTGAGTACGTGACCTGCAATATAACGTCCATTGTTGTGTGGTGATGTTATTAAAAGTACATTTTGCTGAAATTATCGAGTCACTTTTAAAAGTAAATATAATGTGAAGGGGAAATAAAATAATATTTTGGGAGCGTGAAATGGGTTGTGTGTTTTTTTTGTCCATTGCTCTGTTCAAAGAGAATTGTGAAAGTGGGTTTAACAGGTCCATAACATACGGAATTTACGTATTTCACACCGTCACTTGTATTTCTCTTAAAATTGGTTCCGCACTGAGGCAGAAGCAACACAAGAGAATCAATAAACGGCACCGTGAAGCCTTCAAACGCCAAACACAAACATTAATGATTTGAAAAACAGAACAGAAATCAAAGGCCCTGGGCATGCCTTGCATTTCACAGTTACTTAATTTTCCTCGACCTCACTGCCCTCAAAGGGTGGAATCTCAGTGACAGGTCAGGGCACAGAGGCGATCCCACCTTAGTGGCAGCTATAGGCCCACAGCAAATCCACACAAGTCCACATGCCTGCCACGCCAATTACAAGACAGTCCCCCCCCCCCCCCTGTTTCCTAGATTGAGACGCTGCTGATAGGGTTTCGTAAGTGATAAAACGTTTTAGGAACACAATTGTTTAATGCACTGTGGTGTGAAGCAAAACACATCTTCTTCTATCCAAACAACTTCAGATAAATGTCTGTCCACGCTTTTCGTGAACTGTTAAAGTCCGTAATGCGGGGAAGGGAAAAAAAAACTACTATGAAAAAAATGAAAACATATGGGAGATGATTTGTTACCAGCAAGATAGAAAATTCATAATACCCAAGATTTGTAATTTAGAACAATAAAACTGCAAGATTTTGACGTAAATTCAAATGTAGATCGTGAATTTTGCATTATATATCAGGGTGCTTGTTTTATAACGTCCACTTATAAGGCGCTGATTTGCACACATGTCTTCAGCAAAAAAAAATAAGAAGCGTCAAACTTGTTTCACGTGAAAGTCAAATGTACGTCTGCGACGCGTGATCGCCCCAGAGCACACCGAAGATTATCTCAGGGATCAGCGAGCAGAGACGCGAGTCACTTTGACACCTGGGCATTCGCGACCAACGCCTTCGCAGGCGAAAGGACTCGTCGCAAGCGACGCCATCACATCGACCCCTCTGTTTAAGGAACGAAACGGGATGATTTCTCCACAGATCTGGCTGTCGCCTGATGATGCCGGTTGCATTTACTGGCGAAACGTCGTTCCACGGACTGTAAATGTTGTGGCTTTGCTCTCCAACACACCGGTGTTGCTGTAACTCGCAACGAATTGGCCAACGTTCTGTTTACGTGACAAACCTTACTAATGGGCTGTGTCGGGTGGCGGCGGGTTTAGCGACACATTTACATTTTTACGCGATCTTACCCAACAACAACAAAAGTAACCTCTGTTACGCACCGTGGTTTGTATCCGCGGCCAAAATTGTGTCGGCAAGAATGAATTCACAGAGTGGGAGCGGGTGGGTGGGTGGGTCACGTGTTGCTTTGTCGTCCTTCTCCCGCACCACCGATAACGATCACGTTTGGCTACGTACGGTGCGAAAGAAGTTCAACATACAGTGCACGCACACACACACACACGTGTGTAGGATAAACGCAACTTTTCATTATGGGCGCGATCGACAGCCCGGCGTGATTCATTTTGTCAAGATCAAAACAAAAATGATGGCATTGTTAATATAGAAAGATAGCACGGTTATTTAACTATTTTCCATCAGATTTAAAATGTCAGCGAACTGTCCGGAATCAGCGCAAGCGAAGTGACACCCAAGAGTTTTCACTTCCCACGTCAACAGGATGCTGCGTTTTGACCAATTGCTTGCAGTGATGTCTCGGTGGTGCTGTTGTTGTGGTATACGGGGGGCATAATTTTGACTCCATTATTGCACGTTGTGAGGCCGTGTTTGCTGCGTCAATCTGCGTAGATAGCAATTGTGTGTGTGCGTCCAGTGATTGCGTGCGTCCAGTGATTTTCTGCCGTACGGTGATTTTTTTTTTCCCCGCCGTAAAAAAATTTGCGTGGAAATACCACACATGTTGGCTGCCGCCCGCTTTCACATGACCGGGGCGAATGTCATTGCCCGTGCGTGTGTCGATGTGCGAGATTACAACAAGCTGATGCGGTGTGGGGTCGTTTGCGCTCCATGAACAGTTCTCGCAAGCAGCCGTGCCTGCCCGAGCCACATTATGGACGGACGTAAAACATCGTTCCCTTGTGGCAATCGTATAAAGTAACCGTGGCTGTTCTGCGGGGGCTGGGATGTTTTGCACGGCTGCCTCTTGGCCACATTTACCAGAGCACATTTAATGAATCAGCTGTCTTAATGCGATTGATATCTAAAAGCCACGAAAAAAGAAGCTTTGGGATTATGCTAGCATTTCATTCAGGATGAGTAAATTTAAAAAAAAATGTTTGGAAACCATATTTCAGGCCACTTGTGGATTTTAAAAAATCATCCCTCGTGACCTGATTAGAGGACTGACAGGAGCCAGTGATGATGAAGGATTTAATTGCATCCTGTGCAGTCTGAATATTGAAAAATTACATCTCCCGAGAGCTATGTGCAAAGTAACCACATCAGCTCGCTCGTGTTGCTACTTGAGCTGCTAAGTCTCACGTGAAGAGACTCCACTTGAATGTCAAAAAACGTCCCTGATTGCGACACCTCACCTGCTGTGGTCTGCAGGTGGATTAGCAAGTCCATTGTCTCTGCCTGATACAAGCCAAAAGAATCTGCATTGTTTTTGCTAATTTCTGGTAACACCGAGATAAAAAAAATATTTCGAGAATTTACGGAGGGCATTGGCTGATGTAAATTGCCATGCAACTTTAAGTTTTTCTGCATTACTGTTTAATATTTTGTAAAACGTGTTCGTCTTATGCTCCATCGACTGTAAGCAATTTTCGAAGGAACAAATATTTAAAATAAAATCACTGGTCCAGAGCATCCGCTTAGGCAACAATGCTCCGGAAAGTCACGTAGAAGGGAAATAATAAAATAATAAAGATGAAACAATACAATTCTTACGACATTACGGCCACAACACAAACAGCCGTCGTTGTGGCCGAAACTTCGTGTGAATTTTATGTTTTATTTTTTATTATTTCATTATTTCCCTTCTACGTGACTTTACCGAAAGATTCAAGAATATGAATCCCTGCAGTCACGAAAGCTTTAAATCGAAATGTTATGCTCCGGAAGTAGTGCACAGAGTCATGTATGGTGACTTGTGAATTATGAATTAAGATAATGATTACGATGATGACGACGATGATGCTTCTCTGCTAGATTGATTTGGTCAGATGAGAAACAGATTACTGTAATGGGCTGCCAAGACTGGCGCCGAGAGGGAGCCTGTAGGAGCGTTCTCCCCTCCTCCTCCTCCCCCCCGTCACAACCTCGCCGTGCCCTCCACCGCGGATGAGCCGAGCACTCCCGCTCGGGGCTTCAATCACTCCCACCATCGACCACCCGGGAACCAGGCCAGCTCCATGCTGCAGCCTCAGCCTCCCCCACCCCCACGCGCTGCTTTATGATGTTTGCGTGCGTGTGTGTGTGTACCGAGAAGTTGGCTCCCCATCTTTGACGCACTCTCGCTCCGAGCCTGCGCTCGTTTGCGGGGCGCCGCGGTGGCGGGATGTTAACAACCTCGCCGGGTACACAGGAGGTCGTGGTTTCGATCCCGACCCTAACGCCTGCTGTATATTTGGAGTTTGCATGTTACGCTCCCCGTGCTCGCGTGGATTTTTCTCCGTTTCCTTCGGGTTTTCCCCTCCACACTTAGAAACGTGCGTTTAAGAGTAGTTGGCTGATGTAAATTTCCACGTGATAAGCCACTTCGTTGAGCTGTCATTTGTGGCCAGGTCACTTCTGAAAAAGAGCTACGTAGCTCAGTGGGCCTTACCTGGTAAAATAAAAAAAAATGTTTAGTATTAAATAGCGTATAGAGAGCGGGCGATGCGCTCACGTGTGCAGCAAAAACTGGGGCGAGTGAGTCGATTAATCGACGAAAGAATGTAACCGATTACTTTGTCGGAAGTCGTTAACTCAGGACCCTTTGCACATGCCTCTTGAAGGCGGGAAACCCCCTACAAGCCACGCCCAGAGTGACGCGGCTTATCGTGCAATGACATCACCAAGCCCCGCACGTCACCTCCCCGTCCAGTGGCACACGAGTTTTTTCCACAACCTATTTCGTGTTATTTGATTATTCTGACCGTGATTATTCGATCATTCAAGTTTATTTATTGAACTTGGTACGAACTCAAGAGACCGGGATGAGTCACATCTGCGAGCGGCGACCTTGGCCATTCGTCTGCCGGTAGGGCGCATTGATGGCTGTTGCTGCTGCTGCGTGCGATCACGATTGAGTAAGTTGAGGATCATTTTATAACTTGGCAAATTTGGACCGCAACGCCTACACAAAATGGTCGACTCTTGCAAATTTGCGTCGTCGGATGATCCTGAGTGCCCATCGAGACGCGGTATTGCCGTGGTTGTTGTTACACCCGCACAGACAATTATAACACTGTGTAAAAAAATGTTCCTGGGCAGTGTTATTCACTAATTGCTTATGCCTCAAAAGTACATAAAATGGCTATTATTCCCCACAAACTTTGCTTTTGTGACCAGGACTTTATGTGAACGAAAGACACAAATGCACACCACGTTTTCTTATTGAAAATAGGTCAATTTCAAAATATCACTGTCCTGGTCACAAAAGCAAAGTTTGTGGGCAATAATATCCATTTTCTATACTTTTTAGGCATAAGCAATAAAAAATATATAAACACTTCGTAGCAAGGAAACAAAAATTGTGTTACACAGTGTAATCTGACAGCAGAGCCCGGTACATTGCTCCCCGCTTTTCTGTTAGCGCCGTCAAACGAAAGCGTGCCGAGGGTGCACGACGCCGGGAACCGGGCCATGCCACCATCCACCCGGGTGGCCTGGCCTCGCGACGAGGGTGACCGCGGGAGTGGAGCGGGCCCGTGGTGCGTCCGTACCTTGCCAGTAGAAGCTGCCCGGCCCCCCCAGCACCGCGGTCCCCGCCTACAAACAAAACAAAAGTTCGTTTAGCAAGAGCGCAGGAAATTCCATCGGAAGACCATCAGCTTGGCATGCACCCAATAGGCGGATTTTTTTTTAGCTTTAACCAAAATAAATCTCTCGCTCGACACATAAACAAACACGCGCATAACGACCGATATCGAGTTAAATTCGCAAACCCCTAGACAACATGTTTTTTTCGGTTAACAGCGGGTGCAATATTCGAGGTGAATGGCCACGTATGAAATTTCAGCTTGGAACGGCGCTTGGAGTTACAGCCAAACGCCGTGCACGGCTTCAACCCAAGGCCGTGACGCGATGAACCCCCCCCCCCCAACCCAACCCTCGCCTTCCTAAAGCAGACGGCACCCACAGGGACTGTGTGTGCCCGTGGTGGTGCTCTGGTTCCTTGTGAATATGCAACGTTGAACTTCTTTGGCACCGTACGCAGCCAACCGTACACCATTGCCACAAAGGGAGTACTTGCAAATGAAACAACGACATCCGAGCTATATCAAGGTGCGTCGCGCTGAAAGTAACAGCTATTTGGGCGCCTCGTTTTTTTTGTATGTCTTAGAGAATAAGAACGCAGCTATGCCGCGGTTAGCCAGAATTTGCGTTTGATGTCAAGTTACTGTGTACAACAAACACGTGATTGCGCCCACCCAATGAACCGCGTATACATTTTTTCGCATTACTTTTTTTACGCAAAATACCGCATACTCTGCCGTCGGCGCATATATTCCAAACGTTCTGTTGGCATCGTCACGAAGTGTTCGACTCTGGAACTCAAACATGACCGCAGCCCGTGGGTCGTTACGGGAAATGCCTTGACAGCCCCAGGAGGGGTATGCCCTGGCGCTGACCAGGCGTACACTCGCTATGTAACGCAACTCAACCGTGGGGCTTTCCTCAGTGGCGCAGGCCACGGCTTTAATGACGAGAATACGGACGGCGAAGCGGATTCACAGATAATCACTCGACGGAGGCTTTGCGTGTGCCAGATGTGTGCAACTTAGTTTTCGGAAAAATATCCGTGGAAAAAAATGACGACTGATTATGCATGAATTATGTTGACGGAATATACGGTATTAAATAATTATGAAGATATTAAAATGTATAATTAAGCCCTACCTCTCCACCAAAAATATACAAGCTCTAAATTTTCGATAAAAATTATTCTCATATGAAGCAGGGATGCACGTTCACAAGAATATTGCTTTGTAGGCAAACATCAAGTCAAATCAAGTTTAAGCAACAAGTCGTTCCATTTTTGTTGAACTATTTTCGTAAAACTGAGAAGCTTCGTGGCTCTGCATGCGCGCGGGCCTGCGTTTAACAAAGTTTTGCCGTGGACCGAAGTGGCAGGAGGATTCATCGCTGAGGACGTAGCGCACAAACAGCTCCTTGTGTCGCGGGTGCCCTGCGCTGCTCAACAAAGCAGCGTCCACACACCCTGTCCCGAGGAGACGCTCAGCCTCCAGAAAACCCCTGACACAGCGTAGTAGTTGTGCAGATGTTGGCATTTAAAATGCACTTTGGGATTATCCACCCCATCAACCACCGCCAACCCCCAATTTCTGCAGTGTGCATCAGAATGTAGTGATGTTTAGTTGTCTTAGCTAGTCAGCCATGAAAATGTACACAGAGCGGAGCAAGACATATTTAACACAACTACAGAACAATATTTTAATGATGTTGACTTAACAATTTGGCTATTGCGATATACACCACGCACGTCACTCGCTGCAACCGCATATATTCGAGTCATTGTGCCTCCATTATGAAAATATAAATGGCCAAATGCTCCGTCTTTATTGACAGCCCCGAGAGCCAGTGGTGGCCATTCCACATTCGCACGTCAAGAATGACCACTGGCTGACCTCCCAATAAGTGTCAATCATCGAACGCACGTGTGCGTGTGTGTGTATATATATACACACCATGAGGGGTGGACAGTCCTCTACTCGGGGCAGCAGACTGCCAAACAACAGGGTGTGGGTCTTCTTTTGAACAAAAGAATGAAGGGGGCGTGGGAGCGTGGCGGTGAGGTGTGGGAAGCTGTAAGCCCCAGGCTACTTTGGGCTCGCCTTCCCATCAACCGGAGGCGAGGAATGGTGGTCGTGGTTACTTATGCCCCCACCGAAGATGAACATCCGTGGAGGGATGCAGGCAAAGCCGATGAGTCAGATGCCTTCTATGACCTCCTGTCACAGGTGCTGGCTAAAGTGGCCCCTCGGGATAGAGTCATCATGTTGGGTGACTTCAATGCCCGAGTTGGTCATGATACTGGCACCTGGTCTGGAGTGATTGGAGGGCATGGGCCAGATCAGCTCAATAACAACGGTAGGAGGCTGCTAGATTTTTGTGCAGCCCATGGGCTTGTAATTACCAACACGCTGTTCCGGCATCGGCGCATCCACACAACATCATGGATGCATGCCGGGTCCAAGCAAGAACATCTGCTGGACTACATAGTGACGGACCAGCGAATGCGAGCTCATGTCCTTGACACCAGGACCTACCGTGGAGCTGATCTGCCCTCTGACCATCGACTAGTCATCTGTAAGATGCGCCTGCCATTCTTCCACTCCAGTGGTGGGTGTACACCCAGGACCCCATTCCAACCTAAAGTGGCCTGGTCTCAGTTATCTGATGAAAGTTGCAAGCGAGAATTTCATCATCGCTTGCGGCTGGGATTGGCATCGTCCCCGACTCCTCCTGATGTCGAGGGTAAATGGGCGAGGTTTAGGACTGTGACTCATGCAGCTGCAATGGCTGCTTTGGGTACGCGGTCCAGACCTCCCCAGACACCCTGGATGACAGAGGAGTTGTTCAGGATGGTTGAGAAAAAGCGACAGGCCCACTGTCATCGGCTACAGAATCCCACGTCAGAGAATGAGGAGGCTTACCGCAGCCTTCGCTCGGAGGTTCGGAGAGCTGTGAGGCGCTGCAAGGATGGGTGGTGGTCGCGGGTTGCTGAGGAGATGGAGTCTGCCTCAGTGGCCCGTGATCACAAATCTCTATTTAACTCCATCAAAAAAGTAACCTGCAGCGCCACACCTATTACCATCATTAGGGGAAAAAACGGTGATCCAATTTACGACCCCCAGGAACAGGTTCGCAGATTTGCTGAGCATTTCTGTGAGGTCCTGGGGGAGGGAAAATCCCTCAGCCAGGAAAACATCGTGGCACAAAGTGAGGATGACCCTGCTGAGGCTGCGGTGCCTCAAATATTGGATGAAGTCACCCCCTGTGAGTGGCTGGCTGAGGTGCCATCTGCTGAGGAAGTATTGAAGGCGATCCGGAGTCTGAGACCAGGAAAGGCAGCGGGCAGAGATGATCTCCCAAGCGAAATGCTGAGGGAGGGTGGCGTTTGTGCACAGACTGCCCTATATGACATCATAACAACAGTCTGGACCACTGGACGGGTTCCGCAGGATTGGAAGGATGCCCTGGTGGTCCCCCTTTTTAAGAAGGGGGACCGCACAGACTGTAACAACTACAGGGGCATCTCACTCCTCAGTGTGCCGGGAAAGGTCCTGGCAAGGATTATTCAGCATCGCCTTGCCAGGCACGCTGAGGAGAGGCTTGCGGAGCCCCAATGCGGTTTCAGGAAAGGGCGGTCCTGCACAGATGCCATATTTTCTGTCCGTCTGCTACAGCAGAGGTGTAGGGAATTCCAACAAGACCTACATCTCTGCTTTATTGACCTGGTCAAGGCCTATGATACCATCAGTAGGCCTGGGCTCTGGGTCGTTCTTCGTGCTTTTGGAGTACCTGACCCTCTGCTCACGATCATTAAGGACCTTCATGATGGTGAGCGGGCCCGGGTAAAACTACGTGGCCGGGAGTCAGAGCCATTCCCTGTACACCTTGGGGTGCGACAGGGATGTCCTCTGGCTCCCACATTATTTAACATCTATTTTGACCACGTAGTTCGTGAAGCCTTCAATAGCTGTACCGGGGGAATCTCCATATGGTACAGATATAATGGGAGGCTAATCGATGCCCGGGTGCGGTCAAGGGATGGCTCCCTATTGCTCAACCACGTTATGTATGCTGATGACTTGGTAATAGCTGCTCAGTCAGAGGAGGAGTTGGAGACGCTGCTGCTGAGACTGGAGCGTGCCACTAAGAGGTGGGGCCTTACCATCAGCCCCACCAAAACTAAGCACCTGCCTGGGTATTTTGTACCATCGGACACTCCACCCCCACAACTCCCAATCGGTGATGGGGCAGTTGTGGAGAGAGTGGAGAGTTTCCCATACCTGGGCAGTGTGCTTATGACTGGCTCCAGTTTAACAGCAGAGGTCTCACTCCGAATCAGTCGAGCGGCAATATCTTTTCATCGGTTGCGTAACGCTGTGTGGAAGCTACCTGGTCTGTCGCTCCGCACTAAGCTTCAGGTCTTCTCGGCCACGGTCATTCCCTCCCTTCTCTACGCTTGCGAAACGTGGACCCCCCTAATGGAACATCTTCGCCGGTTGGAAACATTTAGGCTGGCCTGCCTACGATCCCTCCTGGGTTTAACCAGACTGGATTGTGTGAGGAGCTCACAAATCCTTGAAAGATCTGGGCAGGGTCCCATCGGTGAGCTCCTCCGGCAGGCAAGGCTGCGATGGCTGGGTCATGTAGCCCGCATGCCCAGCCACCGCATGCCGAAACAGCTTTTGTTTGGCCGGATTGAGGGGGCTAAGCGGGCGCGGCACGGACTAGAGAAGAGATGGAGTGATGTGGTACAGGAGGGCGTGGAGCTGAGTGGACTTGCCGATGACTGGTACCAGCGGTGTCAAGATCGGCCTCTGTGGAGGAGGCTCGTGAAGGATGCTACTGGGCAGTTGGAGGCAGTCGCCCTCCAACAACAACGGAGGGCGGAGGAGCGACGCTCACAACAGCGAGCGGAGCGCCGGGTGGCTAAAGCACAGCAGGTTGGCACAGTAGGGGGCACAGGTGGTGCATCAGCAAGTCATCTCAGTCAGTCGACCCGTGGCACCTGGGTCTGCCCCGTGACCTCCTGCCAGCGGGCGTTCGACACTTCACGTGGCCTCAGGGTGCACATAGCCTGGCACAAGCGTCGTGGTGACGTCACCGCCACTTAGTGGCGAATGGCGGTTGTTGTTGTTGTTATATACACACGTCACACGTGACACGTAACATCGACGTGTCCGTTGGGTGGAGCCAGTGGTGCATGTGGGTCACGCACGGGACCCGGCGACCTGAATTCGATTCCCACAGTGAGGAGTTGTGTCTCAAGCGATCTCGGGCACCCTTTCGCTATCCCCGCATCGACCGCCACGGGGAGGTATGGCAAAACAACTCCCATGACCGACATGGCGTGGGGAGACATTCCTCCAGCAGTGGAGCAACGAAGGGCTGTAAATGATACTAACTACTGTATTATTAAACATATCTCTCTATGCGATTTGCATGATTATTGTGCAACATTCGATAAAAATGCATGATAATTAATCACAGCACTTTGGCTAGAGCGCTTGACGACTCAGCCTATAGTACACCCGGGGATGATAAATAAAGTTTAACACGGAGGCTTTTCGCGACAAATATCATCCATTATAGATCTGGCTGTCGCCTGATGAAGCTAGTTGTAATTACTGGCGAAACGTCGTACTCGGATTGTAAATGTTGTGGCTTGGCTCTCCAACACACCGGTGTGCTGTACTAGTGACGAATTGGCCACGTTCTGTTTACGTGACAACCCTTACTAGTTGGCTGTGTCGGGTGGTGGCAGGTTTTAACGACACTTTTATATATTTACGCGATCTGACCTAAAAACCTCTATTATATGACAAATAAAGTACCACTTTGTGGTAAGTCTATAATGGTCGTCCTACAGGGATAGACTGGCCTCCACCATGGGAATGTGGAATTTCCACCTCTGGCTGAGGGCCACTGGCAAAAGTTAACCACGTGCCCAATTGCTCGTTGCAGCAGGGGAACACTTAGAGCTGTGCCCCGTGAAGGTACAAAGAGACAATTGAGAGGAGTCATCGGTGTTTATTTACGTGATCGCTTGTGACGAGGCGCTACTTGGCTTGTAAGGTGCAAGGATATCGTCGGCTTAAGAGGTCAATTTGAGACGGCACTGGCCATTGAAAGGGCTCATATTCACGGCCTCTCTTCGGTGGAAATGTTCACGCGTACCTCGCTGTGCACGGGGACAACGGCTGCGTTGAGGACGATATTCGCGCAGAGGTCACGAGGGAGGAAAGCTGGGTGAGGTCACTGTAACGCGGTGTGCAGGGGGCATCCGCTCTGGAGCCACGCGACGGAAAGGGGCCCTGAACACAACGAGGGTCACTAAAGCCGCCGTCCGCCCCCACGACGCCGCTGTCACTGCATCGCCCGGGGGGGGTGGGGGTCATCTGTCTCTCGAATACGCGTCGTTGTTTATTTATTTATTTGAGACTGATCAGAGTTTAGAGTGGGGGGACCTGTAAGTTGCCCGGCCAGGTCTGTCAAGGCCCCCTCAAGTCATCTGGGAAGAAAGCCTCGCGTGTCGATCGATCGCGTTAGCCCCAGCGGGGTGGGGGGGGTGCGGGGTGGGATGGGGGTGGGGGTTAAAGAGGAAGGCGTTCAATCTGTTTTCTGAGTTAAAATGTTCACGATGAATTGGGCTTAACGTGGACCTTGCGAATAATGACAACAACGTCTTGGCGGCAAATGCGTTCCACGTGTGCTCCTGTTGACTTACAGGCAACGGTGTCCGCATCGATGGCGGGGTTTTTGTTTTATTTGCCGCTTTCATGCACCGCGCGCCCCAGCGAAATGGGCGCTCCCACGTGCCAAACGGAGCGCCGGCCTGGAATCGGGCGGCCCATTACATTCCCAGTTTCGTCGTTTGCGTGTACATCTCGCGCGTGTTGCCGCCCGCGAGTGCGTGGTTCGTGCCGGTTAGCACAGGGCGCGCTTCGCAGCCACTTACGTCCGTGAAATCGACGCTGAACCCTCCTTGGCAGGAGCCTTGACCCGGCGGGTCAGGATTGCCTAATGTGGGAGCACACAGAGACACCTCAATTATGGTCATTAGACGAACCGCGATCGTTTCCTCCCCAGACCTCCGCTCACCCCACATCCCCCCACGTCTGCTCTGCTCGGCCCTGCCTGCCTGCTTGTCTGCGCCGTCTATTCCCACAGACCCATGCAGATTACCATCTCGACATTGTTTCTATAAGCACTGTTTGGCACCACGACTTGCATGACTTGAATACCAAACTGGCCATTTCCTGTCGACTCTACCGCACTGAACAATGATCCACTCGGAGATGCATTGCCCGGTCAGCAGCAACGGGCAATGGTTAGCCAGGGGATGCTTCTGCTGTTCCTCTTACGGGTTCCATCTTCTGAGTTCCCAGCTGCACATTTGTCGCGCCCAGTGATGGCTGCTGCAGCTGCTGCTGCTGCTGCTGTAGAGCACTGTGACTGGATCTTACCCAGCAGTTGGACCCAATTCTGCATCCGCCTACTTGACATCGGCAAGCGAGGGCCAATTAGCGAGCCACGTTCATTTGCAAGGTAATGCTGGGTAATTAGCTATCTGGGATATATTTTTTTTTCAGCTCGTCAAATTGACTGTGACACAATAGCCCACGCTTGCAAATTAAGGTGCATGGTCTGAAACATTTGCTCTGCGAGAGATGGCAGCCAGTGATTATAAATCTCGGGTTGGATAATCCAGTACTTAGAAGTTGCCGACATCAACCACAGACTTCATGCACACTGGCGCTGTGGCACTACCGGGCTATCTAAGCCATCTACATTCTGACCATTAACCCAGCTCAAAGACGCGCGCTAACATTTCGTGAAGCGGACTGCCAAAGGCATCTCTACTCGGGACTGATTAGCTCAAACATTTGAGTTGGATGCTGACGGAGGGGGAAAGTCGGTTTATGTTTTTAAGAAAAGTGGCCGCACCGAGCAGAAAATAGCAAGAAAAAAACCATCGGCAGGCAGAGCGTTCTCATCCTGGAGAGAGCCATGTGCAAGCCTCTGGACTCAGTCACGAATTGTCACCGAGTCCACAAGGCCATTTGATTTGCAGCAGCGGCGCCGGGGCTGGATAGGGATCCGAGCGAACTATCCGACGACTCGACATAGTTTCTGTTTAGTTTCCGTCGCCCCTGCTGTGTTTCTTTTTGTGCCAAATCTCGCACCAAGGGTTGTCGAGTGCTGTGGGGCAAATTATTTCATTGGTTACACACGCGCGCGCGCACGCACATACATATATACACACACACGCACATACACAAATACACACGCACACGTACACACACACACATGCACAAATACACACACACACACACGCGCAAGCACAAAAGACAGAGATCCCCCGTGTAGCCTTAACCAACTGTTGGAGCAAGTGCTGTTAGCGAGCACCAATGAAGGCCGGCACGGCACACGAGGGAGTGGGTGGCCGACACCACGCGCGGCCGCCTTTGTCTCCCCAGTAGCGATGTTTACACACACTGCATCAGGAATACTCATTTGAGGCTGGGTCGACCTAGGGGAGGCCCCGGACCGGTTCACATATTGTCACCGATGTTGGGCGTGAGCCGGAATCGAACTCGGGTCGCCGGGTTTGTAGCGCCGCCCGCTAACCGCTGCACCACCGCTCCCCACTTGCAACACGCACGCACGCACGCGCGCAATTTCCTACAACAACGAATGCGCAAGCCGTGCCATGTGGTGAGAATTATACGACGCGAATAGTAAGTGGCGATAAATCAAGTCACAGGATTTAGAAGCGGTGCGACGATATCCGTTCGCATTGTGCACGTCGCGCACACTAACGCTTCGTTGACGAACGTGTTCATGTTAAGCCCTGTGTAATTTAACATTTTTCTTTAGATTTTAGTAAAATTGGGTTAACGATACGCTCGAGCCTAAATATTCAGAGTTGACCTTGGCACAGCTCTGAAGCTCTGACCGACCGCACAGGGGTCGCACGCCACTGAGCTTGGGCTTCACCTGTTCCATTTGAGCGGGGGTGTGACGAACCCCACATTGTGTTTTTGAGTTGCAGGTCAACGCGTGGCGGGCGGCGCTTTTTCATTGAAATGAAAATGTAAATTCATGGCAGCGGCTTTATCGCAGTTTCCTCCAACAGGACGGGAACGTGAAATCCATACGGCGTCCCAGGAGGAACCCGCTCCGGCGACAAATTCGGCACGCACGCTTTAAACGTCGCTTCCGCACTCCGTGTGTTGACTACGAAGCACCACGCACTGGAGCCACGCACCGCACACTGGAGCCACGCGCCTCACACTGGAGCCACGCGCCCAACACTGGAGCCACGCGCCTCACACTGGAGCCACGCACCCCACACTGGAGCCACGCACCCCACACTGGAGCCACGCACCTCACACTGGAGCCACGCACCCCACACTGGAGCCACGCACCTCACACTGGAGCCACGCACCTCACACTGGAGCCACGCACCCCACACTGGAGCCACGCACCCACACTGGAGCCACGCACCTCACACTGGAGCAACGCACCTCAAACTGGAGCCACGCACCCCACACTGGAGCCACGCACCCCACACTGGAGCCACGCACCCCACACTGGAGCCACGCACCTCACACTAGAGCCACGCACCCCACACTGGAGCCACACACCCCACATGGAGTCACGCACCCCACACTGGAGCCACGCACCCCACACTAGAGCCACGCACCCCACACTGGAGCCACGCACCTCACACTGGAGCAACGCACCTCACACTGGAGCAACGCACCCCACACTGGAGCCACACACCTCACATGGAGCCACGCACCTCACACTGGAGCCACGCACCCCACACTGGTGCAGGGTCACACAGACACCACCGTGAGACAGCGTCGACTGAGAAGACGCAGGCGAGACGGGCAAGGCAAATGAAACGACAATTGATTACCGACTCAAATCCTCACGCCGATTCCAGATGATGCACCAGATTATTGTGGCGGTGGCGGGGAGGTGAATGATCAAATGACGAGCCCAGAGTTCGTGGGGCAAGCCGGTGAGTTGAGTGACAGGCAGGCGGGTGGGTTGGATGACGAGGGGGTGGGTTTGGTTGGCTGGAAAGCGGAGGGGTTAGGTGACAGGCCGATGGGTTGGCTGGCAGGCGGCTGGGTTGAGTGACGGGCCGGTGGGTGGGTTGGGTGACAGTCTGCTGGGTTGAGTGACAGGCAAGCGGGTGGGTTGGGTGACAGGCGGCTGAGTTGAGCGACAGGCCGGTAGGCGGGGTGGGTTGGGTGGCAGCACCAACCTCGGCGACAGGGTGAGTACTCGGTGAAGCTGCTGAAGTTGCCGTGCGCCACGTAGCAGGTGCCCACGGGCTCGCGTTCGCGCGCAGGGCGCAGCGTTCTCCAGCGGTACAGCGGGGCACACGCCTGCCCGACAGGACGCGCCACAGGGAACAACAACAATAACAACTACAACAACAACAAGAACGACGAGAAGAGCCGCCATTCGTCACAGCGGAGCACGTTCCAGGCGAGGTGCACTCCCGAGGCCACGTGGAACACGCAGGCACGTGCACGGCCGGCGAGAAACACAAGGGACGGTGGGGAAGGCTAATGCCGCTCAAACTGCACCTGAACGTCTGTGTCTACGAACACAGAACGTTCTGTGTTCATAGACACAGACGTTCTGTGTTCGTAGACACAGACGTTCTGTGTTCATAGACACAGACGTTCTGTGTTCGTAGACACAGAACGTTCTGTGTTCATAGACACAGGACGTTCTGTGTTCGTCGACACAGACGTTCTGTGTTCATAGACACAGACGTTCTGTGTTTATAGACACAGACGTTCTGTGTTCATAGACACAGAACGTCTGTGTTCGTAGACACAGAACGTTCTGTGTTCATAGACACAGACGTTCTGTGTTCGTAGACACAGACGTTCTGTGTTCATAGACACAGACGTTCTGTGTTTATAGACACAGACGTTCTGTGTTCATAGACACAGAACGTCTGTGTTCGTAGACACAGAACGTTCTGTGTTCATAGACACAGACGTTCTGTGTTCGTAGACACAGACGTTCTGTGTTCATAGACACAGACGTTCTGTGTTTATAGACACAGACGTTCTGTGTTCATAGACGCAGAACGTTCTGTGTTCATAGACACAGAACGTTCTGTGTTCATAGACACAGACGTTCTGTGTTCATAGACACAGAACGTCCGTGTCTATGAACACCAGCGTTCCGCGGAGGGCGAGAGATGGTTATTCTCGCCGTGGAAGACAGCGACACGACGACGACGACTCTGCTCTTGTGCGGAGACAAAATAGAAACACAGCGAAGGCTGTGTTTCTATTTTGTGTGGGGTCGCAGAGTGACGAGAGGGCCTCGCGTGCCACGGCTCTCCGTGCTCGAATTTTTTGTTACAACTTTTACATGGAATTGCCATTCTCATGATTTTATACACACACACATATAAAATACCCATTGAGTCCCAAAAGTATTTGTCAAGAGAGCTCTCTGGATTGCGATGTTGGGAAATGCTTTAAAAAAAAACAGATATTAATGTTTTTCTTTGTGTGAGAAAACTAGAGTTACTCGGATTCATGGCGCCGAGAGACAGGAAGAGACACACGTGTATCACAGGATAGTTACGCCATTCAGAGACCTCGTCACATTGCCTATTAAGAAATGTGGGCTTAGGCAGGAGGGGCATTCGTCATGAGACTAATGATGGAGCGGCTGCCGAAGGAGGGAACAGACAAGCGACAAACCTTCCACTGCGGTGATGAAATCCGTTGATATGGAGGAGCTAGATGGAATGTTGCATCCGTGGGACCATGAGAGTTGGCCACAGCTTGGGAAGACCTTACTCCAGCAGTGGATAAAGCGTGGATGATGATGGTGGTGTTCTATGGGCCCAGGCTAGGTATATAATGTGAAGGCAATGCCCGTGCTGGAAACAGTTTGTTGCAATCTTTTTTTAAATAGCAACCACAGTTGATGTTTAGATGTAATAACCCTGGAAACATTTATTAAAATCACAATAATAAACACGTACATTTACCGTAATGTGTAACGGAAAAAATCTGCTCTGGCCCGAATATTAATAGATCATCGTCTCCTGTCCATGGATGGAATTACAGCGGCATACTACGAGAAAATCACTTAGGAGACACAAATCAGGCTGTGAGCTGCAGTAGGCCAATGCACGGGGTTTTTTTCTCCTTCTGTTCCACGTGTCAGCACTGATGTGGAAAACTCATTACCGCCTTGCGGTGCTGTGTGTCCAGGTGGTTTCTTGCTCATGTTTCACTACTTCAAATACATTTCAATTGGCTTCTGCTTTGACTGCCGTTTTCGGTCGAGTCGCGCTTTTGCACGACTCCACTTCGGAGGCGCAAAAAGGCGCCGTCGAAGCGAAGCCACCGATGTGTTTTTTTCCTTCGGCTGACCCCCCCTCCCTTCGTTTTGCCGGTCGTGGCATGGACGACGCGGCGGTGCCCGGCCTTGCCCCCCCCCCCCGCTGCCGGTGACGCGTGGGACGGGAGAGCCGCTCACCATGACGCTGGAGCGGAGGGCGCGCAGGCTCGCCCCGAACCACTGGCGCGACTTGTAGTCCACCCTGTCCCGGACGCCGGTCGGCAGAGTCAGCATGCGGTCACCTGCGCAGAGCGTCAGACGCCGGGGCCGGATGCGAGCGATTGACTGCCCGTTTCTCGTGACGCGCGCGGCCCCGGCCAGCACCCCCAACACCCCCAGCAGCCCCAGCACCCCCAGCACCCCCAGAACCCCCAGCAGCCCCAGCACCCCCAGCACCCCCAGGACCCCCAGCACCCCCAACACCCCCAGCACCCCCAGCACCCCCAGCACCCCCAGCACCCCCAGGACCCCCAGCACCCCCAACACCCCCAGCAGCCCCAGCAGCTCCAGCACCCCCAGCACCCCCAGCACCCCCAGCACCCCCAGCAGCCCCAGCATCCCCAGCACCCCCAGCATCCCCAGCAGCCCCAGCAGCCCCAGCAGCCCCAGCACCCCCAGCAGCCCCAGCAGCCCCAACAACCCCAGCAGCCCCAGCACCCCCAGCAGCCCCAGCACCCCCAACACCCCCAGCAGCCCGCTTGCGTAGGGCTCGGGCCCAGGGCGGGAGCCGCGGTCCCGAGCGCCTGAATTTCGCCGGCGTCCCTTCGGACGAGACGCGCGAGCCCCCTTCTCCAAAGCAGCGGGGAGTGCGCGCCTCGCCGTCCGGCCATCTGGACACGCGGGGGGCCGGGTGGCGTGGCCGTTTGCGCGCGCGTTTCCTCTGGGGGGGGGGGTCCGTGGCATGACGGTCGACCGCAGTTTAATTTCCACGGCTGTGTATGTAAAGGGGATGCGCGCGTGTCGTAGGGATCACAACAATTTCACTACCCACTGAGCTACATAGCTCTTTGTCATAAGCGACCTGGCCACAAATGAGAGCTCAACGAAGTGGCTCATCATGCGGAAATGTATCGCGGCAAAATACTCCAAATGCATTGTTCTAAACGTGGAGGGAAAACCCGGAGGACCCGGAGAAGAATCCACGCGACAATGGGGAGAACATTCAAACTCCAAATATACAGCAGGCACCGTCAGGGTTGGGATCGAACCCACGACCTCCTGCATACCAGGCGAGGTAATTAACATCTCCTAGCCACCGTGATGATGCTGATGATAGAGAGAGAGAGACACGCAGACTCCAAATATACAGCAGGCGTCGTCAGGGTCTGGATCGAGCCCACGGCCTCCTGTATACCAGGCGAGGTAGTTAACATCTCCTGGCCACCATGATGATGCTGATGAGAGAGAGACACGCAGACTCCAAATATACAGCAGCAGGCGTCGTCAGGGTCTGGATCGAGCCCACGACCTCCTGTATACCAGGCGAGGTAGTTAACATCTCCTAGCCACCATGATGATGCTGATGAGAGAGAGACACGCAGACTCCAAATATGCAGCAGGCGTCGTCAGGGTCTGGATCGAGCCCACGACCTCCTGTATACCAGGCGAGGTAGTCAACATCTCCTAGCCACCATGATGATGCTGATGAGAGAGAGACACGCAGACTCCAAATATGCAGCAGGCGTCGTCAGGGTCTGGATCGAGCCCACGACCTCCTGTATACCAGGCGAGGTAGTTAACATCTCCTAGCCACCATGATGATGCTGATGAGAGAGAGACACGCAGACTCCAAATATGCAGCAGCAGGCGTCGTCAGGGTCTGGATCGAGCCCACGACCTCCTGTATACCAGGCGAGGTAGTCAACATTTCACCACCGTGGCGCCCTAAGAAAAAAAAACCCGGAAAGTAATTTGCTTGTGCAAGACACGTCAGTGTCTAAAATTAAAATTTATAAATTACTCGGAAATCAATTTAAAAACCATTATTACTGTCAACACACAACAATACAATGGGCGTTCTCCGCAGATGATTTGAGCAGACATCTTTTTTTTTTACTTCTGACTTCTTTGATACTCATCAACACGCTGTAGCCTATGAAACAAACGCATGCCGGGCTGCCTGGTGGCAGAGCCCTTCGTGAATACAATGGAGCCGTTCACCAATGTATTTGTGTTGAGACGTTAGCTGTATTTATATTCACGATAAACAGGGCCAATCTCTTCTTCTTTGCTTCGTTGGCCTCGGGGGTTTTTCTCGTTGTTTTTGTTCAAGCATATTTCATTTAGTTACTTTTCATTTGCAGACACAAACACGTCGAAGCAATGGTGAGTGTTTTCTGCAACGAGTAAATACGCCACCATTCCCTTTTATCGGGGGCAAAGTCGTTCAGGCGATTTGCAGAAACGCTAAACCCAGGGTTCATTTTAACGCCGAAAATAAATAAACAGGCGACGTGGACATTTGACTTCATCGACGGCGTCATATACAGCGCCATCAGAAAAGTAAAAATCCCAAATTTCAACGCTCAAAGACACAGAGCTCATTAGTGCCCCGGGGTGCATCTTCTGTTGGCTATGCAAGGCAGATAACCGATTCATGTCCAAGTCGTTTATAGAACTTCTAACTCCTGTGGAGGGCTACTCGGTGGTTCGCGCCTCACCCATCGCCTCCGCCCTCAATATGTGCAGATACTACAGGATGTATTGTATGTAGGGTTTTCGGCATATTTTTGCCTATAAACAACTTTTGTTTTTACAATTGTTGGAAACCTGTTGGATATTTTTTTTTTACCCCCACACTCGGGTGGGGGTCTACTAACTATAATTTTTTTTTTATTCAGGCCTTCTGAAAGGCTATCTCATAATTTAGTTGACGGTTTTTGTAATAGATAATAAGGTTTATTAGAAAAAGGTAACATCAAGTGATTCATCCAATTTCATTTGTATCACTGATGTCACTGGAAACGAACCTAAACATGTGAAAGCAGTCAGAGTGGAACCCCGCCTGCGATGTGGGGAGCTGTGGTCGTCGCTGCTCCTCGGCTCGGCGGTTTGATCGGCGCTGTTTGTTTACGCGAGTGGGATGTCTGCAGATCAGCGCGCGGTGACACCCGTGGACAGGGCCCACGTGTGCCCACACTCTGACGTCTCGGCAAAAAAGGTTTGCGGTATTTTGCCTTGGGGGGGGCGTCCATAAATGATGTCACGCGATTTGGGACGATTTTTGACCGCCCCCCCTCCCCCCTCATCACACGGCGTCACAAAAAGTCAGACCCCCCCTCAAATATGACGTCACAAAGCTCCGCCCCCCCCCCCTCGTCACACATCTTCGCAAAAATCTGACCCCCCCCCCCAGGTGCGTGACGTCATTTATGGACGACCCCTTGGGATGGCAGTGTTGGTCGTCTTCGAGGCGACGCGTGACGAGTCGGGGCCAGGACACGCCGGAGACCCGGTGCGCACTGCTCCCTCGTGAACGGGAAACTAAAGATAAACTGTTTTTATTTATTTGTCTTGACCTAGTAAGGCCGACACTGAGCTGTATAGCTCTTTGTCAGTGGCTACAAATGATAGCTTCGACGAAGGGGCTTATCACGTGGACACTTATATCAGCCAAATACACTAAACGCGTGTGCAGGGTAGAAGTGTAAATCCACGCGACCACGGGGAGAACATTAAACTTAGAATATAAAGCAGGTGTCAGGGTCGGGATCGAACCCACGACCTCCGGTATACCAGGCGAGGTAGTTAACATATCCTAGCCACCGTGGAAATTAAAGACAAGTCGAACGATGGACCGTGTAGTTAACCCACAGTGACTCATAGAGACCCAAAGAGATACATTGAAGATAGTGGACATGCAACCCAAACTATGGACTATATAGTACACCACTGTAGTCTAGGAACAGCAAACAACACGTACTCGTTCTCCTGAAGCCTCCTCATCCTGGCTAGCAGACCTCAACAGTCCGCATTTAGTTCCTGAACGTGCTCCCGTCACGCGCAAGAATGCCGGAGTTGCAAATGTCTATCCATGGCGAGGGAACTACACTGAGACAACCTCCTGGGCCCTGCAGGGCTGAGGCTCACGAAGGGCCCCCACGTGCCTTGCACCGTCTGTGCCCCGTAGCACACAGATACACAGCGGCGCGCGTGCAGATGGCACGGAGACCCAAGAGATGCCCTCTTGGGGGCAGAGGCTGCCCTTTGTGGGGCACCGCACATACCGATGTCAGAAGCGATCACGCCAACGCCACGACTTAATTTACGTGTAATTGTGCGCAGTTCGTTTCGGCCCTAAACTCATATGTTGGCTTTTAGAGGCGGCCAAATTAAAATGTAACAAAAAGCCACTTGAATCGATTCAAATTATTCTCATCCTCCCTCGCCAAACGCATTGCTGGAATTGAACCTAAATGTTCAGCAGAAGCTAGGCACAAACGCCGACATTGTGGTGTTGTGATTGCGGCATCTGAAGGCGCGCATAGCTCCAGCCGCCCGTGTATGTTAACAACGGCGTTGTAAATTTTGATTTAACAACGGCGTTGTAACCAACAAAAACAACAAAAAGTAGGCACGGACCTTTAGGGATCTTTCGCTCGCAGAGGATTTTTTTGCATTAATGCCGCTCATTTGGTTACCATAACAAGGCTGTTAATGCAATTACGCATTCCTCCCGCTCATCGTCACGGCAAAAAAGGCAACAAATGCCCAAAGTCTTCAGGCATCTCTGCTGCTTTCAGAGGGTCAGAGAACTGCACTCTGGCCCAGTGCCTCCCTATGAGGTGTTTCCTTCGCGTTTGCACTGATTAATGGTGTTTAACCGGCAATTCTGGGGGTGCAGCAAGACCCCGCTTACACCTAATCGAAGCCCGGAGAGCAAGTGGCTTTAGCCGTGACATCTGTTAGTGATTACTCGCGATGCCAACTACCCCGCGCGCGAGCGCGCTGGACATTTCTAAACAGCGTCCCGTTCGTGTCTGCATCATAAAAGCCGAAACGGGCTTTGCATTTGCAGAATCCCTCGTGGAAATGTGGGGAGCTTTATTGTTATTGCACCTGGAAAATGGAAACATTCGAGACGGAGACGTGAAGATTTCCTGCCCAACAGGAGAATGTGGAAGACTTGTTTCGGCACTACATTATCGAATTAGAGATTCGAGAGTGAGACTTTCTGAGGAGTTGGAAGGTTGTGTGGACGTGAACCACAACGATAGCCAGATGGTGCCGATTTTTGAGCCACTTCAAATCTACTTGGCAAACACGTGTCACTCGGCCTGCTCCTGGCATTGTCGCCCTGGGACGTTGTGTGTGAGCCCGCATTCCTCCGACGCGATTCGCCGCCCGAACGGAGGAGGTTAATTGTGATGCCGCTGCAAGAGGTGAAAATGTCAGAATGCTGCCCCCCCCCCCCCCCCCCGTTAACTTACACACCGCTGAAACAAGGGAATTGCCATTTCATTTGGGCAGCTTCGCGCGAGCGGTGAGAGCGACGATCGTGCTCAGCGGGTGCCGGGATGGATGGGATGGATGGATGGGAGGGAGGGAGGGGAGGGAAGGAGGGGGGGAGGGAGGGAGGGAGGGAGGGAGGGAGGGAGGGAGGGAGGGAGGGAGGGGAGGGAGGCGGTACCTGTGAGGTCGAACGGGATGGGGTGGCAGGAAGGACGGGCCCCATCGCGGCCCCAGGGACACAGGTAGACCGCTCCGCCCTCCGTCACTCCGGGCTGGGACGTGTTGGCCCGCGGAGCCCCGATCAGCACGCCAATGCTGGCCAAGCGCACAGACAAAACAAAGACAAATATCCCCCGGTAAAGCCTTTAACGTACCGATGGAGCAAGTGCTGTTTGCGAGCAGCAGCAGCTCATGTTAAGGCCAGAGCGCCACACGCCCGATCGCCTTTGTCTCCCCAATGTTGGTGCTTACACATCGCACGAGATACTCATTTAAGGCTTAGTCGACCTAGGGAAGACCCAGAACTGGTTCATATATTCATCACTGATGTTACCCGTGAGCTAGAATCCAAATTGTGTCGCTGGGTTTGTGGCACAGTGCGCTAACCACTGCGCCACCGCTCCCCGACACGTACGTACACACCCACACATATTGCAAAAGCGCAAGAACCTTCCCGTAACGTTGTGGTTATTTTCAGCATTAAAATGCAATCCCTTGCTTTTGCGGCCAAACATCAAAGCGATTTCCTGCTGCTCAAACGAGCATCAAGGCGGTGCTCATCTCCTGTTTAGAGCGCCGAGCCAGTGGTGGGCATTCCTAATTCCTATGGCAGGAGAAAGTTTATCCGTGTGACTATCGCTGTTGACAAGTGGTACTAATTGTATCGATCCTGGAGGGGATTGATGGGCTGAGTCAACCTTCAAGCAGCCTTCCAATGGCGAGCCTCTTGCTTTCCCGCTCGTCCGTACGGACCAGTGCCTCTCCGTGGCAGGTGACCGCCTCTTATCCTTCCGTTAGACTCGACCCATCTCCTAGCCACCGCAGCGCGTTCTGCGGTGGCTATGAGATGTTAACCACCTCGCCTGGTATACAGGAGGTCGTGGGTTCGATCCCGACCCTGACGACGCCTGCTGTATATTTGGAGGCTGCGTGTCTCTCTCTCTCTCATCAGCATCATCACGGTGGCTAGGAGATGTTAACTACCTCGCCTGGAATACTGGAGGTCGTGGGTTCGATCCCGACCCTGAATGACGCCTGCTGTATGTTTGGAGTCTGCGTGTCTCTCTCTCATTAGCATCATCACGGTGGCTAGGAGATGTTGACTACCTCGCCTGGTATACTGGAGGTCGTGGGTTCGATCCCAACCCTGACGACGCCTGCTGTATGTTTTGAGTCTGCGTCTCTCTCTCTCTCTCATCAGCATCATCACGGTGGCTAGGAGATGTTAACTACCTCGCCTGGTATACAGGAGGTCGTGGGTTCGATCCCGACCCTGACGACGCCTGCTGCTGTATATTCGGAGTCTGTATGGCTCTCTCCAGTTTATTTTTCTCTGGGTCATCCAGTGTTTTTCCTTCAACATTGCGAATCAACATCACGCGTTTACAGTATTTGGACTACTGTACATTTCTACGTAATGATGAGCCACTTCGCTGGGCTACCATTTGTGGCCTGGTCGTTATGAAAAAGAACGTTATAGATCAGCGGGCCTTACTTGGTAAAAAAATATATAACAATAGGTTAGTTCATAATTTAACTCCAGCACGGGCTGGGAGGCGCCAATTGACTTGGGCGCTGCCCTATCAGCCTCCTTGAGCAGGATTACGCTTTTACTGGACTCGTTTCGTCCCTTCGGGTATAAATCACTCCTTAATGGCGAGTGTTCTTGCAGACAGCGCCTATACGAACTCGTTTTTTTACAACCACCGCGGCGCATGAGTGGACCGGCAGCCCTTGTTAACGCTTGCGGTGTCTGGACGCAGCCCGGGAAATGCTATTGGGGGGGCGGTGGTTAGTGGTCGATAATAGGACACTCAGCAAATAGCCACTCCTCTCCTGATGCCATTGTCCTACTGGATTCTTCGTCTTCTTGGTTCCTTCGGTACAGTCACGTAGATAGAAAAAAGTAAATAAAATAAAAAATAAAAACTACGACGATTCGATCACAACACAAACGATCGTCATCAGGAGGAAAAAAGGGGGGAATGCCATCGAGGGCAAGCTGCGAAAGTTTTCAGTCAAAATATGGATTCTGCATCGTCTGTCCCTGCTGTGGTGGCAGATCCAATGGGGGGCCCAACGGTAGCGTAGGTGTCCATCCATCGTGGTGCTGCGTAGTTCACGAGTAAGCTCCCAGCACGTGGAGCAAAACGTCGGACATCACGCCGAAAAACGCGCCCAAGAGGCACACTCCTCCGTTCGCTCATCACACACAGGGCCGGATGAAGATTTTGTAGGCCCCTGGGCTACAGGTACTGTGAGGCCCCCAGGAATATTTTCAAAAGGAAAACAAAGTTAAAGAATTTTTTTATTTATTTTTACAAGGCTAACAACTGCAGCCCCGAAAGCCCATGCCTTTATCCGGCCCTGCTCACACAACGTGCTCTCTTACGCCACTTACTCGCTCGAAAATACAAGCGCCGCTCACGTGTCCCATACGCTGTCCTGCCCAGAGCACGCGCGGTTATGAGCGCGACTGGCCCCTGTGCCCACACGCGACGTCTCAAGCGGCACGCGAGCGCGGTCATGAGTCTTCAACCCCATCTTGAACCCCAGGGGCGCCGTTCCCGGTCAGAGCAGCGATGATGGAGTGCCATGCCAGCGCCCACACGCGGCTGCCTCCGCGACTTAGCACGACGCTTAAGTCCGAGGAAGGGGGGCGCTGGTGAGTGCAGACCGTGCACGTCGCTGTGAACTCCACCGACAACCACAGCGGGCTCACGCTCCCGCTAGCAGGTGAGTTGGTGGGGGGGCGCAGGGTGGTGAAGCAGCGGTAACACCTGTGCCTCACAGGAAGAAGGACCTGGGTTTGATGCCCTGTGTGGAGTTGGTAAAAGTGATCTCCCTCGGTCTGCGTGGGTTTCCTCCGGGTTCCCATAGCTAAAACAACAATCAAACGTCGCTGGTATTGGGCCAAACATCCCACTGCTTGAAAAAAAAGTTCTTGCAAATTACTCAAATTGGGATCACACACTGCAGCAGCGACATCGCCCCCGACTGCGACAACACCGGCAGGACCCTCCTGAAAAAGAGTGGAGGCTGAATGAGGCTCTTCTGGGTGAACGAGCATAAAAACAAGTGAAACTGCGTCTCCAATATTTGTAAATGTCTTTGTTCCACCTGGACTCCACGCTCTTCTCAACTGCAGTCACTGTTATTCGCGTGCCTTCAGACAGGTCAGAGAGTAAAACTTGCTTCAGCTGGAATTAGACGTTTTACACAATAAAAGACGGAGGTCTGTCGACGCGAACTAACGTCACGAACACTCCATACGATGTCCTCGCAGCACTGTTCAAACACCTGCTGTGATCAAAGTCAGCATCCTCGGAACAATGTGAGTAAAATATCCGTGAATAGAATCGTCTTGCAATTTTTAAGAATCTTGTCAAACATTTCCCAGCATATTTCCTCGATGGGGTTGTTGTTGTTGCAGGGAATCCAATTTTTTTCGCGCTTTTGAACATGCGCGCGCATATGCCGCAAAGCATTTTCTCCCGGTGCAATCCGATACAATGCCCGCAAGGAAGCACTTGCACTTAACGAAGACGCCACGACAGGATTTGAACCGGCCGGAACAGTGAGGGTGGATGTCCGGGTGAGACTGCTTCTCGTGACAGTGTCGTTGGCTGATTCACATTCCTTGGGAAAATCCCGCTTTGGGTTTTGGTGCTCATCTGTGGACTCTGTCTGAACATCTGGAACTCACAATTTGCTATCTCTACAGCATTGGCTTTGTTTTATTGATGCAAGTGCTTCACTTCGTGCCGACTTTCAATGAGCGTGAATTTTTGTCCCTCCGCTGTTGAACATCGACGCGTTGTAACCGGGCCCGCTTTTTTTGTTGTTGCAACAAACCAAAAAATATACAACAACAAAAAACCGATGCAAATGATGATTTAACATGGGCCTAAATAACCATGCAATATAGTTAAAAAGATTCTTATTGATATTAATCTGTCAACAAAAGATCCATGAAAGCAACCATCTACAGCTAGGGGTGCACACTTAACGCGCGTGCTCCGAAGAAGGGCCATTGCCCGAAACGTCGCCTACAACAAATTGTTCTTGTCACGGCCACAGTGTTATCGACGAATGTGATGAGATTTAGTTTGACTCCGTAGCGATAGAATCCTGCGTGTGATCCTGCCACCACCAGTGGCTCGCTCGACTACCGCGATGTCAGCAGCGCCTCGGGGACACCCGCAGTGCCCCCTGTCGGTCCGCGAGACCTTCAACATCGGGGCAGTCGTCAGGTTACGAACACAGCCAGTTGCGTTCGTAAGTCGAGGAACCGCCTCACATCACGATTCGAGAAGAACTCGGCTCTTCGGCTTTCCTGCGAACTCGCCGGGACAACAACCCCCCATCCCCCACACACACCCCCTCCCCGCACCCCCCCACACCCCCCCGCACCCCCCCCCCACACCCCCCCCACACCCCCACCCCACCCCCCCCCCCCCCCCCCCACCCCCCACCCACACCCCCCCCGCACCCCCCCACACCCCCCCCCGCACCCCCCACACACCCCCCACACACCCCCCACGATTGAAACGGCTGTAGTTCGCCGTATTGACCTGAAAACTCAATTTCCCTGTTCACGAATACGGGCTAAACCCGTACGGGTTGACACGGCATGGCAATGCGAGGGCGCGCGTGTTAGGGTGGCAATGCGCGCGCGAGAGAGAGAGATGAAGACGATTCTATCAGTGGCCGTGGCTTCCAAGTGAGTGGCAACGCATCACCGAGGGCGTCAAGGAGTGGTGCCCAAACCCGGCCCCCTCTCTGCTTGCCACGCGCCTTGTCTGTGAGAGGCGCCTTTGCTGTTTGTTGCACGCGAGTCACTTGGGGAGAAGGAGGAGAGCGGTGGTGGTAGTGGTGGTGGTGGTAGTGGTGGTGTAGCGGTCAGCGCGCTGCGCTACGAACCCAGCGGCCCGAGTCCCAGGCATCCTCTAGGTCGACTCAGCCTCAAATGAGTACCAGGTGTGGTGTGTGAACACCGACGCTGGGGAGACAAAGGCGTCCGGGAGTGGTGCTGGCCAGCCACCCCCTCGTGTGCCGTACCGGCCTTCATAGGTGCTCGCTAACAGCACTTGCCCTGACAGTCTGTTACAGGCTATACGGGGGATCTTTGTCTTTGGTGGTGTCACGGCGGGGAGACTCAACGTGCTTGGGGAAAGGAGAGAGAGAGAAAACTCCATACGCTGTAGACGCCACGCATCTGGGATAACGTGAAATGGAAACTCTGTCGAGCTGAAGGCTTAATTTGCGTAATTGCGCTCATTTCCCTCGAAGCAACTTCGCAGAGCCCCGTCGCTCTGCTCAGATCGAGGCCGCCACGCGTCCTGGACCACAGCCCAAAGCGAACAACTCTTTCAGCTGGGCACGGGTCCGGGCCGAAACGTCAATAACCCCGCCGACCAGATACGGCTGGCCAAGCGACAACCCTGCTGCGTACGAGCGCAGCGACGGAGTTGTAAACACAGACACACACGCACGCGGCGTGGTGAAGTATGGTCAAAGCAGCCACCACGGCAGACACATTGCGCGGGGAGACCTTAATTACGGTAAACTGTGAAATCCCAAAGTCAATTAATTTAATTAATGTAAACGTGTAAATACACGCAACGATAGCGAACATTTCAAATGCACACAACGGGCAACATTTTCACCCCGAACACTCCCAACTATAATCATCATCATTTTTAAAGTTTATTGTCGATTGTAGTGGATATCAATGCGGACATACTACACTTCTTTTTATTATTATTATTACGACGTTTCGCTCGCAGCACAATCGGTCTTCCACTTGTGTTGCGATCGAAACGTCGTCGTTTATTGTTATTTTCTTTGAACCTATCTACGTGACTTTACCGAAAGACCCAAAGACTATGGATTTCTGCAGTCACCAAAGCTTTAAGTCAACGTCTCTTCTTCTTTAGTACGGCCGCTGATATCGATGCAGGAGCATCAACTACAATTTCACATTCAGTCGGCCAAACCCAGACGGCCACGTCCATGAGCAGCGTGGTGGCATGACTGTTTCACGGGTGTAACATTCACTTCGGAACACAACGAGCATCCGAGCGACACCTTGTCGTGTGGCTAATGGCAACCCCTCTGGTATCGCTGATGTTGCTTCGTCGACTGTCGCTAATTATGAGCCACTCGACAGAGTGAGAGCACGGGCAGGGGGCCCCTTGGCTTTCGTGACCCGGCTACTGAGACGATCTTCGTCGCGTCTTCATTCGAGACTCATTCTCTCCGGAGCCTTCCGGGAGAAGTCTCAGTCAGCCACTCGGGGGGGGGGGGGGGGTGTGTCAAGTAGGAAGGATTCGACTGCGCGTGGCCAGAGTTGACAAAACGTCGTGAGATAGTATTTTAATTTTGGCGTGGATTTTGTTACCTACACGGGGCAGGTAACGAAATCCCACCGCGATAGGCTGCACCGCGCAAATCGAACACAGCGTGCCTATCAAACTTTCTCGGACCACTCAGGCCAATGCAAACATTCACTCACCCCCCCTCCCTCTCCCCCCACCGCTGGTGACAAAACGCATTCACCTTTATCTCTCTAAATAGCCGTAATACTAAATAAGTCATATTACCGGGACATAAAAAAACATGTTTTTGTAATGCAGCTATAGCATTTTTTTAGGGAGGGCATTTAAATCTTATGGATAGGATAGTTTAATCATGGTAGTTTAACTAACTTTTTTCTAAAATGAAATACCATACGTAAAATATTAATCAATGCCCGAAACAAAAGGCATGATAAACGTTGTCATTTTTTGTGCGGATCAGCCTGCGTTTGTGTCCCACTCTCTCTCTCTGTGTTTGTTTTTCAGAGTGCGCGATTGAACTGGGTCCGCACGGTGTCCACTGAACAGCTGATTCACCGGCTGCGTGGTGCGTTTTCAAATCTCGCGAGCCCGCAGCTTGCCGCCTCGCGATGTATTGGGGTAGAGGCATTCCTACAGCTCAGGTGTAGTGCTGCAGTCTATACGCGCGGTCTCCCGTTAGCACGATTGGCTACGTAGGGCGCGAAAGAAATTCCACAGACGTGCAATGGCCCTCTCCCCTATTGCGGTCCAGAATCGGTGCATCGCCAAAGCCACTTAAAAGGCTCTCGGGAGGCTACGAATGCGCCATTTCTCAGCCATATATTCGCGCAAAGAAGTCGGCTTACCTTGTGACCTTCTGTGAAGAAATTCATAGTTATATGTTACTCGTCGTGATCACAACAATCATGATTGCGATGAGGGTGGTATTCATGATGACGATTTCCATAATGGTCATCACGTTCAACAGCAGTATCACATTAATGATGTCGGCCAACATCATAATGATCAATAATCGATGGGTGGGTTAGGCCACGTAATATCTGAGCAAATTTGTGTCGTTAAGACTCTTCACCGGACGCAAACTAATTAAATGTTTACGAGCTTTTAAGGCGCCAGATATAATCATTACAGCTAACTCACTCAATGAGTTGAAGATCGGTTCTCACAGCCAACGTTCATATCTCAATCAGATACAGCGGCGTTTCGTTCGGTCGCAAAATATTCCCTACGCGTACAATCATCGTCGTAATCATCACGACGATATCACAACCGCGATTATAATCGGGCAGCATCAGCGTTCGTCAATAGCCAGCGTTATCACGCTCGTATCACCAGCGACCCGCGCGGCATCGCGAGTGGGTGAAGTTGCACACTCACGCGTCTGGCTGCGTGTACAGATCCACCGCGTAGCCAAAGTAGGAGCCGGGTGGCCCCGCGTACTCCACGCCCGCCGACGTGTCCAGGTTGAATCCCCAGCCCGGGTGAACGAGACCACTCCACTGCACGCTGAGTCGCAGCAGCAGAAGCGGCAGCACTCGTGCCATGGTCGTTGCAGGCACTCTGCGTTCAGGGTGCGCGCTGCAGCAGGAGCAAGGGTTGCTTGATGGGGGTCGGGTCGAGCCGATCGCGGCTCCTACCCAGCTCGGCCCAACCCCCCTCCACACACCACAACCCCCAAACTCGTCCCCAGCAACCCCCACCCCCCTCTCCCACCGCCGCCACCACCACGTGCGGTGCAGCCTCGCCTAGCCCGGCTCGCTCTGGCTGGGGCAGATTGGGGGTCAGAGTTGGATGAATCTGCGGTCCAGCACCGACCTCGCACAAGCAGACACGTGCACGCATTTCTCCTCGAAGGTAAGGAGGCGAAAGGCGCAGCCCTGCAAAGCGCTCGCTCACGACACTTGCTGGCGGAAGGGACATGTCATGAGAGGGGGCCCTAGAGAAGCTCCTTTGGGGGGGGGTATTTTGGTCTTCTCTTCCTCTCTGGCCAGAGGTCAAGGGAGAGGTGGGGGTACCCACACTTTATCTCTCCACACGCGATCTGCCAATCGACTGATTGTGGGGCACCCCGGTATACTGCTGCGTGGACAAGCGGGGAGTTCATTGTTGCGCCTTTTGTTTCAGCTGCCGCGCCCGAGGATCGCATCGACGGCCTCTGGAATGAGATTCCAGTGTGCCCAAACATTTCAACACGGCAACAGCACAATATACCACGGGAAGCCCGACAGCGACGGATACGCCTGAGTCTGCTGACGATGCCCCAAAAGAGTTGAAGCCAGTCGAGAGCCGTGCTCGTTTTATAAACACGTTGCTGCTGAGGATGGGTTTGGAAAGCTCACGGGCTAATGCTGAGACCAGCAGAGGTCTGTTAGAATGCTTCAAGGCGTCAATGAATGCGTGCGGCAGATACAATCGTCGCATCTGGACGCATCAGCTGATGCCCCGTGAGGTGTGCGCACCAAAATTCGCATCTCAACGTTATACGGCCCGTGACCGTGCGCGTGCGTGTGACCTCGTCATTTCGTGAGTTGTTGCTTAAGTCGCATTCCTTTCATCCGGTGTCCGTAGGCCACAAAAGCTTCTGGCAGCGAATTAGGAGTGGGAATGCAACAGGACGGTAAATGGCACCAGTGCGTGCAGAGGCGGTGCTCACAGATTGCGGCTCTGTTACCAGCTAAGGCGGTCAACATCGCTGTTCTTTGCATTCCCCGGTAACCTCATGAAAAAAAACGGTTACCGCTTTTACTGCACTAATAATTTTATTAAAACTCGCACACATTCGTGAATAGCACCGTGGCTTTCAAAGGAAAACATAACAGCTGACGTTTCGGGAAATTACTCTTCTTCGTGGCACATGCTTGTATACCACCACTGCCAACGCAGCATCGCCGCATATAATTCGCAACGCACGCATAGAAATGCCCCCAGCATAGCGGGGTAAATATTTGGAAACGTCTTGAAAGAATACACGTTAAAGATGTTGACACTTTCAACTGAGGAATTAAGGCAGCTGCCAAAGTGGTGGTGGTGTTAATGGTTTATCGCCCGTTTGATTCCATCTCCTGGCTCGGCATTTGAAACCATGGGGTATATATATATATTTTTAAATCGGTGCATTCGTGACGACAAAATCCAATTCCCAGTATTGTTCACTTTGCTGCGTGCAGACTTATTGTCTTGTATATAGCTGGTCACTTCACATCTCATTCGTAATGTTTTATGCACGCAATTATACTTTGTTTTAAAATTTATGCCGCTTCCTGGAAAGAAAGAAAGAAAGAAACAAAAAACCTCCCCCTCCCCCCCCCCCCCCAGTACATGACAGACGTGATGAGCTCAGGTTAAATGATGCGCGGACATTGCCGGCACAATTTCACTGCCCCGCAGGGTTCCACTCGGCACTCGTCCCGGATGCATTCGGCGTGGCATCTCCCGATGAGCGATACAAGCGACGCCTGTCCCGTAGACTCTCTCTCCCCTGGGGCAGCTGTGAATTCACGCGACTGCGACCCAGCCCGCCGTTACTTTCAACGGCGTCTCTCGTGACTTCGCTGCGGTGCTGTTGCACGCCGAGCCTTGGGGGCGTTTAAAAGAGGCCCGTGGCTGAACCCGCACTTGCAGAACAACGCTTAATGTACTCCGGGTCTCGGTCTGCCCGTGTGAGAAATTAAACACGCAGCCATGCCACTCTTCTTGAGACCAAATCGCCCGGAATGCGCCCAGTCTCGTCATATCTCGGCGGCCAAGCCGAGTTGAGCCTGGACAATGCTTGGATGGGCAACCATCACCACAAAAACAAAGATCACCACCCCCCCCTCGTATAGCCTTAATTGACATTTTTGGGGCAGGTGCTGTTAGCGAGCGCCTGTGAAGAACCGTCACGGCACGCGAGCGGTTAGGTGGCCAGCACCACGCCCGGCCGTCTTTGTCTCCCTAGTGACGATGTTTACTACACACCGCACCGGATAACTCATTTGAGGCTGAGTCGACCTACACACACATACACACACGTGGCCATCGAGCTTGCGGGGCTACGCGGGTTGGCAGCACGAGGGCAGGGCAGTATAAAATCCATTGCTGTGCTGCACACTACTTTCGCGTGCTCCCACGTAGACTGCACGCGTTCCCAGACTTTACCAAGCCGCACGGACCAGGCTGGGGAAGTAAGGTCGAGTAGCCCTCACGTCCAGCACTGGCGTGGAGCAATGCCGGATTATCCTAGTAGCAAAACTAGATACGTATGCTACGGGCCCCGCACTTACTTTCAAGGGCCCCGCACTTTCAAGGGCCCCGCACTTTCAAGGGCCCCGCACTTTCAAGGGCCCCGCACTAAATGATTTCAAGCCATCAATTCCGGTTCAGTGATTCTGCACTTGCTCTATTACTATAGTACTCTACTGCCTTCAACTTTTATGAACGACTGGGTGTTTAAGGTTGGGGATTAGTCGTATTATCTGGCTGTATAGCAAATGAAAAAAATACAATTACTTTACTATGCAAGTTAAAAATGTGTGTTTTCATATTTATGTTTTTTTTTAATTAATTTTAAATTAATTCATAACATATGCTACGGGCCCGCACTAGCTTAATCCGGCACTGGCGTGGACCCCCCCCCCCCCTCACCTAGGCATCATCCAGCAGTGGAGTGAGAATGAGGGCTGTAGGAAGTGTTCGCATGCGGCCCCATCGGAGAGGGCTTCGGGCGCAGCAGCAGCGCCCCCTGTGGGCCACGCACGGTGCGGCCACATCCACTGGGGGGGCAGAGCGATACTCGCAGCGAGAGTGACAGACACTGGCGGAGCCAGTGGGGGGGGGGGGGGGGGGGGGGGGTGGCACGTGCCCCCCCAATGCCCCCCCCCCCAATGATCCGATCGAAATCCCTAATTTCGATCGGATCATTGAGGTTTATTAGTAATACATCGGGATTTTGCGACCCCCACTGCCACTGTGTAGCATATTATTACGTGCCAGGGACTCCATGAGATGATAGGACAATAGTCTGAGTCCATAATTTGCAATAAGTAACGGCAAAGCAGTTATAAGCGACTCACAGAATTGTGCGCAGTTGCGTATACAGAGTCCACGACTTCCCTGAAGGCATCAACACCTTCAGTGAGCGCGATGCCGATCACACAACGCGGTTCGAATTCGACCCTCTATCGATGGCTGCGCCATCGCCGCACACGCGGTGAATCAAAAGCAAGGGACAAGTTTCTACTTACTAACAACTCCCCTATCGTTTCTCATTGCTGGAGGGGTTGCCCCCCCCCCCCTACCTGAAAAGGAGGTCTATCATCATCGATAGGGGGACTAATAATGAGTCATCATCATCATCATCAGCATGGCAGGTCTATCATCATCGATAGGAGTACTGATCAGTTGTCATCATCATCGTCAACATGGCAGGTTTATCATCATCGACAGGGGGACAACTGATGAGTCATCATCATCATCATCAGCATGGCAGGTCTACCAAGTGAATCGATCCGTTCAGTTCCAAAAGGCGGCCGCTAACAGCTCCGAGGCCAAGAGAAATGATGAAAATGCGGCGTGGATCATTTCGAGCCACGTTGGATTTGAAGCTTTCGTGAGTGCAGGAATCCATACTCTTTGGTTCTTTCGGTAAAGGCACGTAGGTAGAAAATAAAATAAAACAAATCACGACGTTTCAGCATTTTTTTCTTGCTGTGGTTGTCACACCTGATGAAGATTGCTTGTGTTGTTATCGAAACGTCGTGATTTGTTTCATTTTTATTCTAACTTCGTGACTTTACCGAAATAACCAAAGGGTCAGCTTTTTGCGGTCTAATTTCAAAAAAGTCTGGAGACTGTTCGGAAACAACTACCAGTGTCTCAAACGATGTAACCGATGCCTGTACGGCATCACAGAGCACATCCGGCTCACTGGAGTCTGATCTATGTATAATGCAGTATTCCCTCGTTGATTTGAGGCTTTCGTGACTGCAAGGAATCTCACACTCGTTCGTTCTTTCGGTAAAGTCACGTAGGTAGAAAAATACAATATCACGACGTTTCGATCGCAACACGAGCAATCGTCATCAGGTGGGACAACCACAGCAAGAAACAAATCGAAACGTCGTGATCTATGATTTTCTACCCACGTGACTTTACCGAAAGAACCAAAGAGTTTGGATTCCCACGTTATTCACGAACTTGCTTTCCGCGATTTGGGCTGTCCGTGAATAGCATGTAGAACTCTACACGACTGCATCGAGAGACAGAGATAGAGTGATGAGATCAAGGTAAGCACGTTTAAAACTATTATTTAATACGTATTAATGGTGACAGTATTATAAACGATGTTTTCGTGTTATGCTCATTTTCACGTATTTAATAGCTAATTTTCACACGTAGGCTTTCGCGACCAATATCATCCATAACAGAGGGGTTTTTTGGGTTAGATCGCGTAAATATATAAATGTGTCGTTAAAACCCGCCACCACCCGACACAGCCAACTAGTGAGGGTTGTCACGTAAACAGAACGTGGCCAATTCGTCACTAGTACAGCACACCGGTGTGTTGGAGAGTAAAGCCACAACATTTACAATCTGAGTACGACGTTTCGCCAGTAATTACAACTAGCTTCATCAGGCGACAGCCAGATTTGTGGAGAAGTCCTCCTATTCCT